TCTGCATTTATGCCAGTGTGTTTATCTGTATGTGCATCAGTGTTTGTATCTCTAGTTTGTGTATCTGTATGTGTGTCAGTGTTTGTATCTGTGAGTCTGTGTATCTGCATGTGTATCTGTGTGTATGTGGCAATGTTAATGTATACATCTCAGCATTCAAATGTTAACACTACATACAAACACAACTCAGCTTTAAAACATTAACATTATATGTAAACACACCTCTGCATCAAAAATCAACTATACACACAAATTCATACCTGCATTCCAATGCCAAAACTACAAAACAAACACACTCCTATATTCACTTACACATACTTCACACAAAAACATACTTGCATTCAAACACTGCTCAGTGCTAAATAAAAACCTGCAATGATGAGCAAATTATAGATCCCCAGCTGGAAAAGCATTGTGGCAGATGTACGACTGATCTATCTATCTTTTGGCCACTCTTGCGATGGAGAGGGGCCCACAACATTCTTTCACCAGGGCTCTCTGTACATTAATTCCTCCGCCGAATAGTTGGCAGGATCGGCACCTAGCTCTGTAGCTCGGCAGAAGCCGGCCTTAAAGGAGACCAGGTGCATGGCAGTACCAGGTAGTAGGCCAACCATTGCTTTCTGGATGAAGCTCGGTACAAGAGTGTCAAAATTTTTGTAAGCGGTTTCCTATGCTTTACTTGCTATTGAGCAGTGGTGTACCATGTCGCATGTTTTCTGCTATTTTTGGGAGTAAGGACCCCACCTACTGCTTCCTGCCATTTGGCAAAATAATGACAGGATTGGGTGACTGCACTGTTCTTGCAGTGCAGCGTACAGGAATGAGATGTTAAAACAGAAAGTCAAAGGGTGTGAGTTCTTTGTGGAGTTATGGATGCTGAGGCATGCTGGCAAGTTAGCCCAGTATCTGACAATATCATTTTTTAAAAAAAATTTGTTTTATTCATGAAAGTTAGAGGTGTATTGGCTGTGTGTTCATATCTCACTTGCAGGGGAGTCTGTCATAGGGACTTCAATGAGCACTTATTCAATGTACCTGCAGCTCTAGTCACTGTAAGCCGTCTCCTACTCACCAATTCTGGAAGGGTACCTCAATTAGGCTGAGGAGGGTCTAGTGAGTAGAAGCCTAGTGGATCTGGTAACCACATGTATATAGTTAATAACTGGAATATTTTGCCTAGACAACAAAGTCTTTGTTGATGTAGGCAAACATTGAGTGTAGAGACCATCAGGATAGTAGGCATCTGCCAATGATACTATATATATTGGCTTTGGATAAGTGAGTGGTTTCCTGGTCCTATGATAACCCAGAGAGAGGGGAAAGGATAGGATATAAATGCATGGCTTGTTCTCTATAGTTGTGTTGCTGTGTAGGTTATCAGCACACAAAATCCCATGCATGGATTTCTAGTGTGACAGTCAACCTCCACCTGGTCACCTTCGTCTATTATGGATGTATATCTTCCCGAATGACCTTCAGATCTGTGCATGTTGATGCTTGCAGTGCGGGATTCGCTTTTTTTTGCAGATTTTCCTCGGTTGGCAAGGCTTTCAGTAGTGTAGCTCAGTGTGGCCCGTTAGGCAGTTTGTCATGGTCTGATAACGAGGATACTGGCAGCGAGGATTTGGAGGATTAGAAGCTCCCAGTGTGTGGTAGTTGTGATGAGATAAAGATGACGTAAAGTTTCGAGTGTTAAAAAGATGTATTGGGATCCAGTAGGCTTGTTAGATATCCCCCCTGTTGTTGTTTGGCGCAAGAATATTGTATTTTTATCACAAGGAGCACAGGGAGAATACGGCAGTCACTTCTTCAGAAGCCAAGCCAAGCACAGTTTCCTAATAATACCACTTTTCCATCTCTGGGAAAAGTGGTTTTTAATATATAGTTGTCTGATTCTCCTGCGGACTAAGTATTTAGCCATCTTCCTATTATCTAGAAGTGTTTCAACACAGGATTGAAGAGTGAAGAATAAGGAATTTACTTAAAGATTTTTTAGGCATAATTCTAGCAAAATATATTCTAAGCAGGTGCCAAGTGACTAATTCTACATATCTTTATCTGTAAGTAAACCAAGGCATATTTCCTCCTGTATTCATAACACCATGTGTGGGTGAAGAATACAATGGACTTCGTCTCACACCCATCCACGCAGCACCTAATCCCTGCAATCAATGACATGATGAAATGAAACGATTCTTTTCTGATTTAATTAATATGATATTATGATTTTCCAGGAATTTGTTAGATGCTATTAAGTTGAAGCAATAAAACAGTAAATGTGCAGATTTTTACATAAGCAGTAAGATGCACCTAAAGATATACACTTGAAGAATTCCTGATTACAAGGGTGCCAATGTCATCAGGATTCAATGTTACGAAAAATATGGGTCCTCATAGCAACTCCATGTATAAGCATAATCTCAAGTATTACTGATCACGATGATTGTAGTAACAGAATATCCCTGATGGTGTTGGTCGTGTTTTGTGCCAGACTGGGTAAAACATTTTTCCCAGATATTTTTTAATTACAGCGGACCAGTGAGAAGGGGTGGGCCAGAGAGAACATGACCACCCTCAAAGTGAGCATGTTGGTTCAATGCTTTTCCAGGGTAATGCATGAGCAGAGCCCTACTAAAGAGCTCACGCATGAGAAAATGGCCCTGTATTTGTTCTGCACAGCACAAGCAAAGTTGCTAGTGATTTGTCTCTGGTGTCTACATAATTTGGAGGCTGCTCGAGGGATTGCGTATGTGTGTAGATTAAGCCGATTGTGGGTGTGATGTTTTGTGTAAATAGGTCAGTTTTAGTTGCATTGTGTAATATGTGTGGCTAGGGGCTGTAGAATGTGAGAAAGTGTGTGTATAAAGGGCATAGTGTATAACAGGTTGTAGTGTATGTGTGTATAGGTAATGTAGTGTGTGCAGGTGCTGTAAAAAGTGTGTGTGTGTGTGTGTGTGTGTGTGTGTGTGTGAGGAGTACACTGTGTTTGAGTGGTGCAGTGAGTGTGTGAGGGGAGCAACATGTGTGTGAATGGTGAGGTGTGCAAAGTGTGTTTGTGTGTGTGTGAGGGATGCAGTGTTTGTGTGTGGGTGGAGGGTTTAGTGTGTGTGTGATGGGTGCAGGGTGTGTGTGAGGGGTGCAACATTTGAAAAGTACTGGGAGATAAAAGGCCTACATTGTGTGTGGAGCAAATATGCCTTTTTATTCCATTATTATTTTATTAAAAATATATAATAGTAATGAAGTTATGTTTTACTTTATTACAAGCTTGGTCCTGTTTAATTATTTGACTTTAACATTTTCATTTCCTTGAGACAACAAAAAAGGAAATAATTGTTGTCTGGGAGTTTAAAATGTATTTTCATCTAACCAATGGACACTTTGCCCTATTTGCATTATTTGGCTCTTCATTTGTTTTGTCTCGTGATTATTATGCAATGCTTTTAACTTATGTAATATTTATTCAAATTATCCTTTCATGTTAAAGTTTCTTCCCATTGTAGGGCAAGTGTTATTTAAATAAGAGGAACATTTGTTCCTTTTTCTAATAGAATATAAGTCAGGTGGTGCCTGGACTCTTTTTTTTGTTTCATTTTTATTTTAGTATCATCAGAGTTTTAAAGGTTGAATCACATCTGACAGTTTTAGAGATGAAAGATGTAGGTCACATGTGTTTACTAGGATGCCTACAGCTATGTAGGGCTTCCCTACCTTAGAATTCAAAACTAGTTATACCCAAGTTATCTCCTAAATCATGTGCCTTGTGTTTGTGTGTTTATGTGGCATAGTCTTGTGCATAGTAATTTGATCTTATATGCTCAGAGCCTTAAAGGGACACTGGACCCTAATATAAAGCAATTCAGCTTGCTTAAAAATGTGTTCTAATTTTTTACTTTAGAAAAATTGCAAATTTCAATAGTAATTGGCACTTTTATAAATGGAATTTGCTACGCCCCCCATTGCTGTCAATCAGACAACTGGTCCTGTTACTTCCTTTCTGTTTAGCTCAATAAAAATACTATATGGCAGGTAACTGCTCAGATCACCTGCTTGCAAAGACTTCTCATTCTCTGCAAAAACTTCTCTTCTGAACTGCATTTGAAAGACTGATTGGACAGCCACAGAAAGTTTGGTCTAGGTTAGACAGGGAGGGCTTGCAAATGCTGCAGACAAGAGATCTGAAGCTTTTGCACGCTGTTTTTAGGTACACCCTCAATGAAATAAAATGCATAACTAAATGCGTATTTTTATTTGAGTATATTTAATAAACAACAATGTATTTACTTTTGTATTTGGGCAGTGGAGCGTCCTTTAGACCTGTCAAGTCAACTTCTCTGAATAAAAAGACTGTTTTGATGCTAGTTTTGCCATCTGAATGCAGGAGTTCAGTAATAAAGTTTTCTAGTATATCTGCACAATTGTCACCATCATGAATCCTGTATCATTATCTGCCAATGCTATCTGTGATGAGATAAGCCTGTATCTGTGTTAAAAGGCGACACAATTAACAAACTAGTAAGGTTTTACTTTGTTTATATATATATATATAAAAAAAAGTAAAAAACCCAAACGACTTTACGCTTCATCAGCAAATCATCAGATAACTTTAAAAATATATAGATATATTATATTATAATGCCATTCCTAAAATCTGTAACCTGTTTGAGCAACAGGCAAATTAGAACCTGTCAGGTGTGTCTGACAACCTGCAGTTACCTACCTGCGCTACCACACTGAGAAGGTATAAAGTACCAGGTATAAAAAGTGACAGGCTTACATGATGTCTGCATGACCCAAGAGTCCAATTTTACTATGTCCCTTTCCCACCAAGCCTTTAAATATTTCTCTCCCACCCAGGTAGCACGTTTCTCTCTGTTCTACAACAATCTCAGACTCTCTAAATGAGTCCCCTCCTTCTCCCCGTCTCTCTTCTCTCACTGTCAGTGCTTGTCTCTTCAATGGGGAAGTGAGACGCGCTTCCTGAGGGAGGGACAGCAGTCACACAGACACAGACTGTCTCTTTGGTCGGGGAAGGAAGGAGGGACACACAGTGCTAGAGAGAGGAAGAAACTTGAGTGAAAAAGGAGCAGAGGGAGAGATAAAGTCTGGAGGGCTTGCAGGGGAATCTGTCAGAAACTGGGAGCCAGGAGGGGTGGGGAAGTGCAGGAAATTAATGAGGTTTTTTTGGGGTGGTGCCAAAGTCTGCATTGGTTTCTTCCTGTCCTATTCCCAGTGCTCTTGCCCCCCAGGCAGGAGGGTAGCAAACCTGTGACACCCTCCCTCCGAGGAGAGGTACAGCTGGAATGGAAGAGGAGTGTGCTGCAGGTGAGTAGTCCAGATATATTAGTATGAGGTGGGTGTTTGAATACTTTTATGAAGAGCAGCTTAGGGGATGTGTTCAGGAGAAGTAGTGAGAGTCATTAAAATGCTGTTTCTGGCACTCCATTTGCTGTAATCTAACTCCTATCATGCTTATCCAGCTGTTTGAGCAGGATGGGAGCTGCACTCCACAGCAGCATTAAATACCAGAAGTTGCCTCTCCCTGTTGGGGTATGTTGTGTGCTGTGAAATGTGAGGGTGGTATCAGTAATGAGATAGTAGAATAGAAAGTTGATTTGGTAATACAGAACAGAAAATGGGATTAGGAGGGTGTGTGTGTACATAAATACCAGAATTTCGCTTCAAAATCTGGGAACGGAGTGAAGTTTTTGTAGTGCATGTACGTGTTGTGGAACACCAGATAGAGGTATGTGGAAGGACACAGAAAGAATGTTGTTAATGGTGTGGGAGTAGTGACAACTACAGTTTTTTTCTTTCTGTACAAAGAGCAATCAGGGAACAAAATTCTAAAATTAGAGTAGTCGGCAAGAATGCTCCATTGGTTTCATTGGTGATTGCGTCTCATTTACAACCAGTCACTACTACAGCTCTTCATACACAGCCCCCCAGCATATAATTTGGAATAACATGTAATGTGACGGATTTGTGGGACAGTAATAAGAAACTGAAGGTGTACAAGCAGTTGTGGTTTTGTAATCTTTCCTACTCCATTTACTGTCAATCTTTACCAGGTGAGGGTCCTCCTACGGGATGGGAGAACCGTCTACGAGCGCAGGAGGAGGAGATTATGCTGTTGAAGTCTGCGTTGTGTGACGTTCTACAGAGAATATGTACCTTAGAACTTCGGCTTCCGTTGGATGGACAGTCATCTGAGAAAAGTTGAGATCAGTGACTTGATACAAACGCTAAACATTTTTAGTTGTAGGACTGTGACAAATTATATTTGACATGATAAATGTGACCATATCTGAAATCTGATATCAGGCCTTTGACGTGCTGTGCTAACTGTGCTCTTTTAAACTTGTTAAAGGCTGTGCTCCTACCATCTATGACATTTGCCGTCTTCTTTCAAATGGGACCACAAAAGGACCATTATTCTCTCTCAAAATATGGCATTTGATTCATGACCTATTAAAAAGTTTTTAGTAGCGGAGTGGCCGTGAAACACAGTATAATCATACATGTCCACCAAAGTCTCTTATTCTGATCAGACGTATGTCATAGTGTTTTGGGGGGAAAAATGAATTCTGGATGTGTTATCACTTTCACTGTTTTATTATTAAAGGAACACTCCAAGCACCGTAACCATTACAGCCTGATGTAATGGTCATAGTGCCAGGAGTGCCCTGGCCACCTCCCAGTGTAATTTGTCCAACAGTTTTAGGACGGTTAAACAGGTGCCAGCACCACATCCGGTCTTCTCCTGCAGAAGAAGTTGGATACCTTTACTGTGCAAAGCCTGCCATTCAAGGACCACATTCATTAGCTGGTTCCAGTGAGCATAGCCCTGTGCCCAGGTGAGTTGTCAAAAAGTTATAAAACAGTTTGGGAAATTACACTGAAAGGGCTCCAAGGCACTCCTGGAACCATAACTATTTCAGAATGCTGCAGTGGTTATGGTGCTCAGTGCATTCCTGTAAGACTAGTTTTGGAATAACAGTGAACCCTACAACCATTTGAAATTTAACATAAATACTAAAAGAAGACTCCAAACACCATAATCAGTAAAGCATGCTGTAGTGGTTATGATGCCAGTAGTACTGTGGCACCCATCCGCACATTGGTGTTTCACGAGCAATGCACACTGCTTCCATACAGACTGAAACTCTCGGCTGCACTGCATTGCATAGCATGTTACAATGGCCAGATGATCCCAGGTAAGAAGTCAAACCTTTACTAAACGGTTTGAAAACTTACATTGCCGGTGTGCCAGGGCACTCCTTGCACTATAACTACTTCAGCACAATGTTCAGTTAAACATTGGTACTATAAATGTAATGAACTAAAGAGCAATGATGTCAGAGGCCACAAATTATACTACAGAGATCAATCAAATATAATTATGTACTCCATGTTTTAGGAATATTTGCCAATTTTAATTTGGTATATATATTTTTTTCTGACCTACCAGTTTTGATGGTGCACCCTGAACTTTGACATTCAGCCATTTTTTTAAATTGTACCCACAAAGAAAACTTGATACCACAAGGTTGATTCAAAAAGGTCTAGTTCTACTTCTTACCCAAGTTTAGGTATAATTTTTGTGTTTTTGTGTTTTTGTGAAAAATCATAGAGGTTCCCAATTTGATCAGAATAAATCTCTCAAGCAATCAATCAAGCCTTCAATAAAAGGATTTCCACAAAAAATTAAAAATATTAAAGGCCACTATAGTGCCAGGAAAACATACTCGTTTTCCAGTGCCCTGAGGGTGCCCCCACCCTCAGGGACCCCCTCCCGCCTGGAAAGGGGTAAAAACATACCTTTTTCCAACGCTGGGCGGGGAGCTCTCCTCTTCCGATCCTCCCCCTCTCCGCCCATTCGGCTGAATGCGCACGTGCGGCAAGAGCTGCGCGCGCATTCAGCCAGTCGCATAGGAAAGGATTTACAATGCTTTCCTATGGACGCTTGTGTGCTCTCACTGTGATTTTCACAGTGAGAATCACGCAAGTGCCTCTAGCGGCTGTCAATGAGACAGCCGCTAGAGGCTTTGGAGGAAGGATTAACCCATTTATAAACATAGCAGTTTCAGAGAAACTGCTATGTTTATAAAAAAAATGGGTTAACCCTAGCTGGACCTGGCACCCAGACCACTTCATTAAGCTGAAGTGGTCTGGGTGCCTAGAGTGGTCCTTTAAAAATCATGTGAAGGCATTTGGCAGGGTCCATTACTGCTTCTTAAATATGGGCCAAAAAAAAGTGAATTTCCAGTAGAATTTATCAGAGTCACTATGGCACTGTACTCAAAAACAATTGGCAGTAACTGGCATTAATTCATAATTTTTCATCAGCCTGTCAGCTATGACACTCCAAGTTGCTTTATTTTGGACGGGAGGGAATGATGTTGGAAATTGGCCTTTCATATTCACTGGAACTATTGAGATTTAAAGATTAGTTTTACTGTTACCTCTCCTTCTCGGGTTCTCAGCCTGAACATTCTAAACCTGCCTCACCACATTCTAAGCCTGCCTGTTTTTTCAGGCTTTGACAAATGATTGTTACAAGCATCTTCTTAGGGGGATTTGCAATTAAATACTGTGTAAATTAATTTCACTTACTCCTGAAGATCCCCAATCATGTACAATCTTTCTAAGTGGCTTGTTTAGTATTGTTGTTAATACTAATATGACAGAAATGTAATTGTTCGAGGAGTTATGGAGCATTGATAAACAACTTAAGTCAATGCTTTCACTGGATGCTTTGACAATACACACACACAACCTATTTGACAGTTCTGAATGTATTCTTCATCTAATTATACTTTTCAATTTTTTTTGTTTCCTCCTGCAGATCATTCCTCTCCTGTGGTACGTAGTGTGGGTGATTTCAACACAGCCTCTGAACCAAGCAGGTAGTAGAAATAAGATTCATATTCAAATAAATAGAAAGGCTACATGGCTTAGGACAGCATATAATCTATGTTACGATATCTTGTTACAGACAAAAGTGTTATAATCATTAAGGATCAAAGGGACACCATAGGCCCTAGTCACTCCTACCTGCATGTGACTCGCACAGCCTTCCTGTAAAGTGACATCTAATGTTTACACTTGCCTTATTGCACAGTCTGTTTAATTTAGAATTTCTTATCTCATGTACTGTTAATCACTAGCTTGCAAGGGCCTCCTGTGTGTGATTAAAGTTCAATTGCAGAGCTGGAGATAACTTCTGAAGTAAGCTAACATCTGATTGAGCATGAAACCATTTATTTCATGCAGGCTGTGTCAGCCTTGGGAGGTTGGCTCTGCGTATGTGGGTAGATAAACAGAAACAAGAGCAATTTAACTCCTAAATGGCAGATAATTGAACAGGGAAACTTCAGGCAAGGTTTATACACCAAACTTGCTTTATGAAAGCAAAAGATGTTTTGGTGACTATAGTGCCCTTTTAATGTAAATAAAGCAATTTACATTTTATTACCTCCTGTTTCACTAAAGTGTACAAATGATACGTGACAACCTTAAAGAACCTTGTAAAAGAAACTTATAAAATTTGCTAAACTGCTTTCAAACATGAATTGAAACTTGATACTATGGTCAGATATAATGCAAATGGAGCTGTTTAGCCACAAGCACACGCATATAAATTGTGATTTTGGAAGAAGCTTACTGTAAATGCAAAATATCCTGTTGAACAGTTGATATTAATTATGGAAATGTAATGTTTCCACTGGCCTAATATGAGTATCAATGTGGATTTTGTCCAAAAAAATTCCAGCAAGTACTGGGACATTTTAGACAGAAAATGGGTTGCCCCTGCCACAAGGCTGAAACACATTAAATTAGTAGATAACCAACCACAGAATTGTTATTTTTCAATTGCCGTGTCAGTAACAGGACTTCAATTCCACTAAAGATCTGTGTCTTTATTTGAGAATTGCACAAGCCAAGGGTTCTGAAAAGATTGTCTAAGGAATGATAATTTAAGATCCCTCCCGGTGCATTCTCTAATGTCATAAATCAACCATAGGCATAGGCCATTATCCATATCTTCCAAATGTCCCAATTTAGGAGGGACAGTCCCTTATTTTGGGCCCAAATCCACTTCTCCCTCTTTTCTATCCTAATTTTTATTGTCCATCTTTATGAGGAGTTCAAACTGGCATCAATCTAATATTTTTGGATAAGCTTTTCAAATGTTTATATATCTTTGGATACACTTTTAAAATTATTTTTTTCAAAATATTAATTTGAAAAACTACATTATGTACTTAAAAAATATGCATATATTAAAGCATTTTTTTCGAAATATCACATCATTATAAAGTTTTACCAAAAATATTAAATATTTTTTTTTCAAATTACTTTATATAATCTATTCAGAAATCGCTCTCTGTAAATAAGCTATGTTATTCTTGTTCTAATTTACATTTTAGTTGCATAAATTGTTAGTAAGCCACCTAAAATTTTTCAGAACAGCCCTGCCCCTAGCGACACACCCTCTTACACCCTTAAAATGTAAATGCCCCTTTTTGACCATTTGAAATGTTGGAAGGTGTACATTATCCTTGCAGAGGTGGGTTCACAAAGTACTGGAAAGAAGGGTGTCTATAAATAAATATTGATATATTACTATTTGTAAAATGTAAAATTGTAATTATGGTTGATTCACTTTTAATAAAGTGCAAATTATATGCTAAATAATTGGAAAATATATAATACCTATTTTATTTGAATATATCAGTTTTTATTAATCTGTCACTGATGCCAATCTACATGGATCTGTCTGTATTATCTGATTATTGGTAGATAACTATAATCCATATGGTTGGGTTGTGTACAGATATCCACATTGCATTGCTGATAATGCAGCAATGTTGTGGAGACAGGCTTGGAGACGGTGGTGATGCCTAATAGAAAGCAATTGTTGTTGGGGGATTCCATCATAAGAGGTGTGGAGATGGACAATGGTGGTCTTGTGAGATGTCTTCCCGGAGCTAATGCTCACAGAGACAGGAGACGTATTTGTAATATTGTTAAGCGAGCAAAGCAGGAAGGGGAATTGGATGTACTTGTCCATCTAGGGTACAATATATAGAATAGATACAAAAACACCTGTGTGCAGGTAGACAACACACTCAGTGGGTAATAGGTACAAACATACAAAAATTACCCTTAGTCAATAGTGAAGTAGATGAAAGGACTCCTCATATGTCCTTAAAACAATATTGATATACTACCAGAAGGCAATCAACAACACAAAAATAATAGAAACGGACATAGAATAGTAACGTAGTATACTAGGAGTTATAAAAGTAGATAATTGCACTCACAGACCCAATTTGATTGCAGGCATATCATAAATAACGATGTGTATACTTCTGGACTTGTGGAACATCAATCCCATACATAGGAGAAAGAACAAGAAATAATGGTGCAGAGTATCTTAAGTAGAAATGACAAAATTTATTACAAGATACACTTACAAGAAAGATGTATCAAAAAGGCACATCAAACTCTGCTGAAGCTGCAACCCAATCCCAGGATCAGAAGAGCAGGAGAGCCAAATAAAAATAAAAATAAACTTAAAAACTGTAAAAAACAAATACTCAGCATATAAAAACAAGCCCTACGCGTTTCGTTCATATAAGAACTTCATCAGGGAAATCCAATCCTCTGTAGACAAAAAATAAATAAAGCGATCGTCTTTTTATAAGTGCATTCAAATTTGCCGCAAAGAAAATCAGCTGTGCGAGTTACTTCCGGGTTCCGGCTTCAGCGTATTTCCGGATACGCCCCTATTGCGTTCCGGAAGTGCTGTCCAAGCCTCATTCTGAAGTTCATTTGGATAGACGGAAGTCAAGACGAATGTGCGTTCCACTTTGCGTTCCATTCTCGGAATTAAACACATAAATCCCCAAACACATCGTTAAGCAGAAACAACTGAATGTATATATATGTATATAAAAAGGAAAGTATCTTCTTCACTTAATTAAAAAAGGGGGTAATAAAAAATAATAATAGGAAAAATATTAAATACATCCAAAAGATAAATAAAAATAAAATAGAATAAAAATAAAAATAAAATAAAATGAAAATAATAATAAAAACATAAAAATAAAATTAAAATAAAAATAAAATTAAAAATAAAATAATGATAATAATAAATAAATATAACAAGAAATAAAATAATAAGAATAAATATAATAAAATAAGTAATAATAAATCATAAAAAACAAACCAAATCAAAATCAACATTTAAACCCCTCGGTTTCATAGTTTGCAATGTATGAATCCAATAGCCCTCTCTTTTTCTTAGAGCCATCATAAGATCCCCTCCTCTCTCATTTAAGGCTACCTGCTCTATAGCTACACATTTAAGTGTGTCAAAATTGAACAATAAACAATTGTTACAATGTACAGGTACTGAATGAGATAATAAACCTTTTCTTATATTATTTCTATGCTCTTGAAACCTAACTTTGACTTTCCTTTCAGTTCTTCCAATGTACTGCATCCCACATCCACAAGTGAGGAGATATACCACGTAAGAGGAAGAACAGGATATTTTATTTTTAATTTTAAATTTAACTTGAGTTTGTGTACTTGTAAAATCCTTTATAACACTGAATCGGTGGCTACAACTTTTGCAGCTCCCACATGTATAAAAACCTCCCATACACCTGGTCTGATCTTTTCCTGATCTAAAAGTGCTAGGTGCAAGGATCTGCTTTAGATTAGTCCCTTTTCTAAATATAATTTTCGGAACTTGAGGGATTTGTGTACTTAAAAACTCGTCTTCAAGAAGTAATCCCCAATGTTTCTTAATTATTCTTTGTACACCCATTATATTGGGTATTAAAGGAGAAATCGAAAATAGGATTCCTAGTTGTTAAATCTTTTGTTTTGTTTAAAAGTAAATTGCTGCGGTTAATTTTACCAACTCTATCGATCTCTATATCTAACGACGAGGTGTAACGTTGTTTAAGGATCCCAGCTTGTGTAAAAAATGAGTCTAGGTCACTACAGTTCCTACGTAACCTGACAAATTGGCTTTTGGGAACTCCTTTCAGCCAGTTAGGGTGATATCCACTTTTAATATCAATAAAGCTATTAGAATCAATAGTTTTAAAGAAAGTCTTTGTTTTGATCTTCCGAAATTCTATAAAAATAGACAGGTCAAGAAAATCAATATCACAGACACCTACCTTAGGAGTAAGAATAACGGATAGAGAATTGTGATTAACATATGAAAAATAGTATTTGTCCATCTAGGGACAAATTACTTGGCTTTCAATGAGGTTTCAGAGGTTAAGGAAGTTTTTAGTGTGTTTGCCTATGATATACGGCAGGTTGCTTCCACACTGTCATTCTCTGAAGTTCTGCCTGTGCATAACACTCAGAACGACAGGCAGATGCGCATTAGGGACTTTAACTTGTGGCTTGTGTAACAAACCACCTCTTTTATAGGTAGGATTGTCACAGATCTTGCAGTAACCACAGCCTTCTAGGGTATACAAAGTCCAGGACACATTCAGCTCGGTTTTCCTTTTTATTCAGTAAGAAAACAGGTGCTTTAAATAATAACAAAACAAACAAAATCCCTTGCTCTTACTTGAGCTCTTACTAGACAGTAATTGCTATCTGCAATTGGGTGGCTTTCCCACTTACCAATTTTCCAAACAAAAGAAATGTCTTTGCAATAAACACAATCTCTCCTAGCTGTCTTTTTCTCCCTCACTCTGCAGCAGGCTGCCCTCTTCTTTTAAAGGCCTGTCTGCTAATTGACTAGCCACAGGTGAGTGCCAATTAGTTAACTCCTAAGTCAGACCTAAAGTGTGGTCTGTTACACAGCAACTAGTGCTGTTGGAGCATTGGCCCACCCTGCTCTCCAAATACTCCGCCCCAGGGACCCATACCATGTTTTGCAGAACCTTAGCAATGTAGATTGCAAACTCTAACATCTCTCCCTGGGGCATTTAACTGGAAATTCTCAGGTTGCTGTTTAACAAATCAGGCCTGATGTATCTTCCATCAAGCACAATTCCACTTTTACGCTCACACTTGGTAAATGGTGTCAGGAGCAAGGATTTGGCTTTATTTCTCATGGTAGCTCTGTTTGGAATGGAAATAAACAATACAACAAAGATGGTTTGCATCTTTCTCAAAAGGGAACAAATGTTCTCAGTGATCAGTTCAGAGGTTTTGCTAGGATGTATTTAAACTAGAAGGGGGGGGCAAAAGGGTGATAAAACATCAATCCAATTGCCCCCCAAAACAAGGACAGAATGTGCCTTTAGCAAGTGTGTTAAAAAGGATAAGCTTAGAGTCATGCCTACAAATGCTTGCAGTTTAGGGTATAAGATCCATGAACTTGTGGCAATAATGGCAACTGATAATGTAGATTAAGTCGCTGTTACTGAGACATGGTATAATGAGAAAAATGACTGGGACATAGCAATACCAGGGTACTCTTTATATTGAAAAGACAGGGAAGGCAAGAAAGGGGGAGGGATGGCCCTGTATGTGAAGGATAGCATAAAATCTAGCCTAATAAAAGTTAGTGAGGCAAACATAGAGTCCGTTTGGATTACGTTAGAATTTGGTAATCACACAGTAACTCGTGTAGGTGTGATTTATAGGCCCCCAGGACAAATAGAAGAGTTAGATAATCAACTAGTTGAGGAAACAGCTAAAATGACAATGAAGTGGGAAGTTATCATCATGGGTGACTTTAATCTTCCTGATGTGAATTGGAAAACATATTACTGTAGGTGAAAGTTTAGGATCTAGTGATCATTAGTCAGTGTGGAACCGTTTGTAAAGGCCTTCAACTCCCTTACACAACTCCAGGCTCTCCCCCCCCCATCACTGGAAGCTCACATAACCCTCATACCGAAACCAGGCAAAGATCCAACCAACTGTGGAAGCTACAGACCGATATCCCTTATAAACCTAGACTTAAAGATCTTCACGAAAATTCTAGCAACCAGACTACGACCCCTACTCCAGTCCCTAATACACGACGATCAGGCGGGTTTCGTCCCCAACAGAGAAGCAAAGCACAACACCACAAAAATCTTAAACCTCCTCTACATTGCACAACACCTGCCAACTGACAGCCTCCTGCTATCAATAGACGCGGAAAAGGCGTTTGACAGGGTGGACTGGACCCTGTTAATAGCCACTCTCTGCAAAATAGGCTTTGGTCCAAACTGGATCAGGTGGATGAAATCCATCTACTCCACCCCCACCGCCAGATTGCGAATAAATGGACAACTCTCAAACCCGGTACACATCAGAAATGGCACGAGACAGGGGTGCCCCCTTTCTCCCCTCCTGTTCATCCTTATAATGGAACCCTTCCTCAACGGTGTTAGAAGTAACCCAGCCATACAAGGAATGCAAGTGAAACAAACAGAGTACAAAATATCGGCCTTTGCTGATGACCTCCTATTCACCATTCAATCCCCAGAAACTTCACTACCTCCACTACTAGAGGAAATATACCTCTACCACACGCTATCCAACTTCAAAGTCAACTTTACCAAAAGTGAAATCCTTCCAATCAAAATATCCCCCCAGACCCGTGCCTCCCTCACAACACGATTCCCGTTTACGTGGGCGGAATCAGCAATAACTTATCTGGGAGTACGTCTCCCAGTAGACCTATCATCCACCTTTGACATGAATTACGAACCACTCTTCCAATCTATCTCAAAAGACCTCCAAGCGTGGCATAAACCACAATACTCCTGGCTCTGCAGAATTAATATTCTAAAAATGAATACCCTCCCCAAGATCCTATATCTATTCCAAACCTTACCCATAGTTATACCCAAGATATTCACTAAACTAAGGACACTGTTTACAACTTTCATATGGGCTCATAAACAGCCGAGGATCAAATATGAAATCCTCACCAGACATAAATCCCAAGGCGGACTGAGTCTACTACACCTTGAACATTACTACGAAGCAACAGTCCTGTCGCGGATATATGAATGGTCGATTCACCCCCCAACACGACAGTGGATAAAGCTAGAAAGCTCCATATTCAATTCTCCCATACACACAATCCCGTGGCAAAAATCAACCCTATCAACACTCCTCCTCAGCCACACTAAACACCCTACGATCCGACCCACGCTCCTGACCTGGTCACGCATTCGCAAGTCAACTAATTTGTCCCCCCACCCATCCCCCTTGTACCCCATTACCCACAACCCGCTCTTCACCCCAGGCATGAAAGCCAAGCCATACCTCACCCTCCAAAACACATCAGACAAGACATACCTCCAGTTGGGCACCCTCTTGGAGGGTCACCACATACGCCCCCTCTCCAACCTGACAAGACAAGACACTCATACACCAATGCAGACCCTTCTCTATGCCCAGGTAGCCCACTTCATAAGGGACAACACTACCCTATACGGAGGTGCACGTACGCTCTCAAACTTCGAAATACATTGTAAATCAAACAATATCAAAACCAAACTGCTCTCGACGTTCTATAAACTTCTCAGCTCAGAACACGCTAACACGCTACCACCCTTCACGGACTCATGGACCAAAGACCTTCGATGCCCAAATTACAAACCCCCAGTGGAACACTATTTTCCATTTGACAGGAAGAAAAAACACTATTTTCCGTCAAATACATGCCACCTCAATATGTACCGCGATCCAGGAGGGTAACTACAAGAGAATTGCCAGATGGCACTACTCACCGTCCAAAATTCATAGCCTCTTTCCAAACACACAAGACATATGCTGGAAGTGCTCCCAAGGGGGAGCCTCCCTAGCTCATACCTGGTGGACTTGCCCAATACTCCAGAAGTACTGGAACAATATAGTAAAAATGCTCAAAACAATAACGGGAATTCAAGTGCCAACTACCCCACAAGCATTACTCTTCATGATCCTCCCAAGCCCCTTGCCCAAACCGCACCATATCCTCCTCACCCACCTTATAACCGCAGCCAATTTACTCATTCCTGTCAAATGGAAAAACTCTAACGCCCCATCAATCAGGGAATGGATCGCTAAAGTAGAGACAATCAGAACCATGGAGGAAATCCATGCCTCCATTGCCCACAAACAATCACTCTTTCAGAACGTCTGGGACCCATGGGTCAGATTTATAAATGACAAATAGATCAGGTATACCCTAATGAAGGAGGAACACATACATCAGCCCCCCAACACCCTAACACTCCTCCAGTGCAGACACTGACCCAAGGGACCATACGCACCCTCCTCCCCCCCAATCCCACCGCCCCAATCCTCTCAACCACACCAACATAACCCACTCTTCTCCCCGTTGAAACCTACACCACCCGACACAGCAACACACCCATCAGTCACATAACCATCATTAACACTCTTTCATACAAAGCGAGTAAGGTGAATAAAGGAGTGAACAGACCTAATGATTTTCACACAAAAAGTTATCAAGAAGGCCCCTACTCGGCCACCCGCGACCATCATAGGCTATCGACCTCAAGACTGACGGTTCAGCTCGTTTTTGTTATGTTCGACTATAGTTTTATTATGATCTTATCTTAATTATGAACACAGGACTGATAAGATGATACGTTATAAACGTTGCCGTCATACCACAGTGAATGTATTGAAACGGGATATCCATGTTTCATGTATCATAAGTTTTAGACTTTAGAAAAACAGACTTTTCTAAAATTAGAATATGTGTAAAGGAGTCATCAAATTGGAGCAATTTAAATTGAGTCCAAGAGAAATGGAATTATTTAAAAGTTGCACTGCTGAAGGCAACAGAAAATTGCATTAGACTTGTCAGTATAAGCAAAAAATTCAAGAAACCACTATGGTACTCCGCAGATGTGGCCAAAATAGTAAAAAACTAAAAGTTAGCATTTAGTAATTATTAAAAAACCCAGAGTGAGGAAGACAGAATGATCTATAAGATTAGGCAGAAAGAGGCTAAGCAAGTTATAAGAGCTTCCAAATCACACACAGAAGAGAAAATAGCACAGTCACTAAAAAAAGGGGACAAAACATTTTTTAGACACATAAATGAGAAAAGGAAAGTAAAACAAGGATTAGTTAGATTAAAAACAAAAGAAGGAAGGTATGTAGAAGAGGATAAAGGTCTAGCTGACTGCCTCAATGAATATTTGTTGTTCAGTATTTACATATGAAAATGAAGTAAATGGACCACAGTTAGGAAAAAGGACAAATGAGCCATTTATTACATGTGAGTTTACAGAGGAAGAGGTTTTATGTCAACTGTCAAAAGTAAAGACAAATAAGTCAATGGGACTGGATGGAATACACCCAAAGTTATTAAAAGAGCTTAGTGGTGTACTAGCAAAACCATTAACATATTTATTTAACCAATCATTGTTAACAGGAGTATTCCCAGAAGATTGGAAGTTAGCGAATGTTGTGCCCATCCACAAGAAAGGTAGTAGGGAGGAGTCGGGCAACTATAGGCCAGTAAGCCTTACTTCAGTACTGGGGAAAGTAATGGAAACCATGTTAAAGGATAGGCTTGTTGAACATCTACAAACACATGGATTTCAAGATCAGAGACAACAGGGAGATCATGCCAAACTAATCTTATTGATTTTTTTGATTGGGTAACTAAAATAATAGATCAGGGTGGTGCAGTAGACATTGCTTACCTAGATTTCAGTAAGGCTTTTGACACTGTTGCACATAGAAGGCTTATCAATAAACTGTAATCTTTAAGTTTGTATTCCAATATTGTTGAATGGGTAAGGCAGTGGCTGAGTGACAGGCAACAGAGGGTTGTAGTCAATGGAGTATATTCAAAGCTTGAGCTTTTCACCAGAGAGGTACCTCAGGGATCTGTACTTGGACCCATTCTCTTTAATATTTTTATTAGCGATATTGCAGTAGGACTTGATGGTAAGGTATGTCTTTTTGCTGATGATACTAAGAAATGTAATAGGGTTGATGTTCCAGGAGGGATAAGCCAAATAGCAAATGATTTAGGTAAACTAGAAAAATGGTCAGAGTTGTGGCAACTGACATTTAATGTGGATAAGTGCAAGATAATGCATCTTGGACGTAAAAACCCAAGGGCAGAGTACAGAATATTTGATAGAGTCCTAACCTCAACATCTGAGGAAAGGGATTTAGGGGTGATTATTTCTGATGACTTAAAGGTAGGCAGACAATGTAATAGAGCAGCAGGAAATGCTAGCAGAATGCTTGGTTGTATAGGGAGAGGTATTAGCAGTAGAAAGAGGGAAGTGCTCATGCCATTGTACAGAACACTGGTGAGATCATTGTACGCAGTACTGGAGACCGTATCTCCAGAAGGATATTGAAACTTTAGAGAGAGTTCAGAGAAGGGCTACTAAACTGGTTCATGGATTGCAGGATAAAACTTTCCAGGAAAGGTTAAATGATCTTAACATGTATAGCTTGGTGGAAAGACGAGACAGGGGGGATATGATAGAAACATTTAAATACATAAAGGGAATCAACACAATAAAGGAGGAGACCATATTTAAAAGAAGAAAAGCTACCACAACAAGAGGACATAGTCTTAAATTAGAGGGGCAAAGGTTTAAAAATAATATCAGGAAGTATTACTTTACTGAGAGGGTAGTGGATGTATGGAATAGCCTTCCAGCTGATGTGGTAGAGGTTAACACAGTAAAGGAGTTTAAGCATGCGTGGGATAGGCATAAGGCTATCCTAGCTGTTAGATATGGCCAAGGACTAATGAAAGTATTTAGAAAATTGGGCAGACTAGATGGGCCGAATGGTTCTTATCTGTCGTCACATTCTATGTTTCTATGTTTCAATACATTATCCTAATTATACTGTTTATTACCAATATCTGAACATATAAGAATTTGCGGTTCCCTACAGATGTCAAATGTGGGCATTTTCTGCTTTCTGGATCCAAGTAGTCTGGTTGAAAAGGGATGTCAATCAGATTATTACCCAACAATATATTTTGGAGATAAAATCTAGAAAAGAAACAAACTAGGCCAGGTATTCAGCAATTACATGTAAATTATAGCTTAATGGGTAGATTTTCAGTTAACATTAGAATATTTATGTTTAGTTTATTTGTAAAACAGTGAATTTTAGTGTAGTGAAAACAGAATTGAAAACCAACATAACTGATTTGGGAACACAATGGGAAGAAAATGTCCAGCACAGCTATAATCACAGATTAACTATTTATTTTTCAATTTATTTCAGTTCACTATTTAGTGAATATATCTTTATTTATTTTTTTCAGTGACCCCCTTAAGTCTTTACCTCCTCAACCTGCCCGTGGCTCTTCACAGAGCACAGTTAGCACACAGACAGAATGGTCCGTGGTGGAGACAAAATCCAAGGAGAGCACTGATCCAGTGGAAGGGACTGGATCATTTGACAGCGACTTACTAAATGGGGTGATCACAGATCTCGTTAATGATTCTGAGGGCCCACGAGACATTGAACAGGAAGCTCGGAGTCCAGCAATAGATGAAACAGTTTCTAATGTACGTACTGTGAATAATCTGCGACAAGGAAAGAAGGATTTGTGAGTATACACTTCAGCACAACGGTTATACACTGAGTTTGTATAAAGCATGAGTTGGAATATAGCTCTATGATTTTTATGAGAAGGCAAAGCTAGTCTATACTGTCTTTTTCTTATAAAGGCTTTGTGTTTTTCTCGTAAAGGCTTCGCAGAAACAGCACTTCAGATAAACTGATCAGAGACACAAAAGATAAGAACAGAAAATTAGAGAGAAAATCTGTCTCTTCAGCAAATCTTCTGACTGGTAAGAAGATATTTCCTGTAGCAGAATGGAAGAATGAGTAAATAGGGTGAAGAGAGAATGTGAGTGAGAAATGAAGAGAGCAAAGCAAGTGCAGAGAGAATTTAGGGGCAAAAAATGAATAGCCACAGTCTTTTTTACCACTGTGTAGCATTGCTTTGCATGTTACGTGCTATGATTTTGTCCATTGACTTCTGTGGTTAAGATTCTGCCCCGGAGATTTGAATAGAAATAGATACATTTACAGGGTTATGCTCTAAAGTTAGAATTCTAAGTGAATTCAAAGTCATTATCAAATTTAAGGTAAAAGTAGCCAAATTGGGCTGAGCGGGGCCTGACCGCAGGACTGAGAGGAAGCAAACCTCTGCAGCTCCTGCTGAACAGCGCAAAAAAGCTAGGAAAAAGCCACAAAAACGGCACTACTAAACTAATCAAAGGCCACCCAGGTGACAGACGACACCGGGACACATACGGCGATATCAAACATGTGACAAACATCCTGGTACGTACCAGCCACACGGATGAGGCCTAGCAGCATGGTGGGAGCGGGAGGGACAGCCGCCCTCTCTCTGCCAAGACCGGCCAGAAAAGTGCCCCAGAACACCCGTTCCCCCCCTATGGACTGGTGGGGGTCATCCCGGACTGCCCCTATGCAACTCCCCAGCAGAGCGGGAAGAGAGAGACAGAGACAAGGAGGAACAGGCCTAACACCTCTGCAGCCCGCAAGATGGCGGATGTCCCTCACACTGCAGGCTCAGGAGATTCGGAGCTCGACACGAGTGGTGGGTCGGCAGGGCAGGAGGCCCGACAAGATGACCGCACTAGAGAGACCGTCCCAGAGCCGCAGCGAAGCACCCGGCCCAGTGGTGCTCACCAAGGGAAGGATCTGGCAAGGAGACACAGACGAAGACCTGCATACGAACCATTACGCCAGCACCACCCTCCGAGCATCAGGCGTGGGGTGAACAACCCGGATTGGACTCTAAAAGCCGTGAGCTCCATATTGCTCAGTATATGGCTTTACGTGTCATACCGCTAAACATACCTCGGACTAGATTCACCATTACTGTCTGGACTGTCCGTTTAATGCAGAACATAGTTAATGCAGATCCTGTTTAATGCAGACCCTGTTCAAATGAGCAGACTTCAGCTATTAATAAGTTTTTTTTTCTGTGCCATACACGCCTCGCTTTCCTCTCCCTCTCTCATACCAAGCAACAACTATATAGTCATGCTTATTAGGCTTGCACTATATCTATTTTCATACACTCAGCTCGCCTACTGAAACACCTTAATTGCAAAATTGATGCAACTACATAGCATGCCATAGTATCGTTTTCCGTTGTGTTTCTTCCTCGCCTGCCCTGCTGTGGTGGCGCCACAAGCGTATATGTTTTACTTAGCATGCACCCACTACTCATGCTATACTTACCTTCACACTTAATCCAGAAACAAGATGTATAGCCTGTACCCTTAGCATATTATAAAACTTAAAAGACAATCTCCAAGCTAGCATGGAAAAAATCCTTATCAATGTTATGCTTTAATATCCCTATACACCATGCTTACTGTTACCTACTACTATAATTCTAAAAATGTGCTGTAACTCAGACATGCATACGGTTTGCAAACTGATATTTTCCAATGTGATGTTTTGACATGACTCTAACAAGCTGTTATCTTTGCAATGCACTCAAAAATAAAGAATAAATAAAAAAAAGTAGCCAAACTGGAAACATTGTCTAAGTCAACTATGGTTTCAGTTTGACCTCTTTTGCCTTATTTTGAAATTCACTTAGAATAAAATAATTTCATAAAATCACATTTTCATACCTGAATACATCTTGAGGGATATTCACTAAACCAGCAGTTGTCAGCAATTGATCAGAGAATTCCAAATATTAGGGAAAATTGCAGAGCTTTATTAATAATTTACTCCTGCTATTATATATATTTTTTATTATTCTTGTGCGTGTGTTATATTCTGTATTTTTCGGCATGGCATTTTGACATTGTGAGGTACCTTAGGATAGTAATTGGTTGCTGGATCCCAGAAGTGGGGAGGTACATCCAAGTATAAATCAGGCATTGCTGCACCCGGCTGAGAATGCCGACACACCACCCCAGGTAGTGATCAGAAGCACATGGGCTAAGGGAAGATGCATTAGGCATAGTTTGGTAATCCAGCCAGAACTCAAGGCAGGAAGCACCGGTACATCTTTGAAGTGCCAGAGAGGCAAAAACCGTATCAGTTATGATCTTTTCTCTCCTCCCTGTGTTTCCTAACTGTATGTTCACTTTGGAAGAAAAAATATTTATCCTTACCTATGGATCAGGGCATTTTTTCCTTCATTTTGGAGGTGATCTTGCAATCCACTTAAAGGGACACTCCACAGCCATATACAAAATAAATAAAATTCACTATTTAGTAGATACAGTCTACTAAATAGTGATTATAAGCCCCATTCACCCTAAATGAAAACGTGCATGCATTTATGTATGCATTTTATCACTGGAGTTGTTTCTAAAAAAAACGCTTGCAAAAACTGCAGATCTCTTGTCTGCTGCCTTTGCAAGCCCTCCTCTTCTAACCCCGCCCAGACTTTCTGTGGCTGTCCAATCACATACAGTCTTTGCAAGGCAGGTGCTCTGGGCATTTGCCGCCTCCTGAGTTCAGTGCAAATACTGTAACCAAACCAGGAAGTAACAGGACTTGCTGTCTGCTTCAAAAGCCGGGGGTGTAATTAGCATAGTTTAGAAAAGTGTCAATTTCTGTGGAACTCTGCACTATTTCCAAAATGAAAAAACAGAACACACACTTCACACATAAAGCTTTTCAGTACGCTAAAGTGCTCTAGGGGTTTCGAGCGTCCCTTTAAATCTTATGAGATGTACCATGCAAGAAACAAGGCTTTGACAGACATAATTCCATAACTTTCAGTATTTTCACTAGACAAAAATGATTTCCCCCAAATATATTCAATATATTTTGTTATGTTTTAAAAGCTTTATCATTATGACTGTGTGTTATACTTTATGTCCAAATGTAGCATCTCCTGAAATGGTTTTTAGTCACATGAAGGCACAATACTCTACATTTTTAATAGTTTAGTTTTAATGTTTATGTCTTTGTTACTCTGAGGCCCTAATGCTTTTCACATTACATTTTAGGTTCTTCTGGATCAAGACGTGGAAATTATAACGTGGGTGAGTAACTTAATTTATAGGTGATAGAAAATTAATGACTTACCGTAATAGATGTGTCCCAAATTAATTATTTTTTATTTTTTACCGATTTCTTTTTTTTTTGTCATCAGCATTTATTCTCAAAAACATACACCCTAGAGATAGCAATCAGCCTGTCCCTTTTGTTCTTTAGTTTTTTTTGGCCACTTTTAAAGTTTGTTCTGGATGGAATTATACTTATTTTTTTTATTTTTTTTTATTTATTTTTCTTACAATTCTAATCTGAACCAATTGAAGACATCCTTATGTTAATGAACCTGTGTAAACGGTAAAAAAGTGAAAATGCAGGGCGTTTAGTCGTATGTATGTATGTATATACATTTATCAGGGAAATTTCCAAATGAACTCCCATAATTCAAAAATGGTTTTAATTCCAGTTCCGAAGGAGACACCGGTTAAAAGGATTATTCCAACCATCATAACTACAACAGCCATAGTGGCTATGATGGTAGGAATACCCTGGCAACATTCCACAGTAATGAGGAAAACCTTGGTAGAATGGTTTGCCTTCTTACCTTGTTCGTTGAGCACAGGTTTACGGATGTCAATCCTGCTTCTTTCATTGGCTGAGACCATTGCCTGACTGACCACTCTCAGCTATTTGAGTGTCTGTGCATCTTGTTCTAGGCTGGATAAATATACGTGCTGCCAGATTTTGAGTTACATCATACCTTCATAATGTATTAAATTAACATAAATGTTAACAAAATTAAATAAAATAATAAGCATCAATAAAAATCCAAATAAGTCCTTTGCTGTGCCAAGACGCATTTCACTAAAGTGCTTCTACAATCACTTTAGCAAAATGTGTCTCGGCACAGAAGAGCATTCACTCAGAATTGTAATTGCTGCTTATGGTTTTATATCATTTTAATTGTTTTAACATATATGCTAATTTTAAATTTAATAAATTCTGAAAGCATCAAGTCTCAATGATTTATCAAAAGGGTCCAGGACCCCAGATAATTAAAGAGAGTGTCACCCTTTACTGACACTAAAGTCTACCACCTCGGAACCAGGTATTTTTCAGTGCTCAGAACAAAGTGAGCATTCTTTTTATTTGGTTGTTTTTGTTTTGTTTTATACCACTCATAGATTCATACTGCACTATTAGTTTCCCTATATCTTTGTTTTTTATTTGAGGATTGATATCCTTATTCTCTTAGTAGGCAACAAGTGAGTGTGCCACATCTCTATTATTTCAATTCACTGCTCATCATTAAAAGCCTCACTATTATATGTTTATTTTTTTTTCACGTGTATCCTAAGACTTCATTATTCCGATTCAATACAATATGTGTGGGGCAAGCATTGTGAGTGCACCACTTTATGCATTTTTGGTGTTTCACCAAATTAAGTTTTGTAATTTTTTTTTAGTTTATTTTGGTCTGGGAAAAGAAGGACAACCTACACAAATGTTTTTGAGTGTTCCACTATTTATTCATAAGCGCTTGGTTTACACAATTATTGTTTTTGCCATTTTGGATCACTTTTATTTTTCTATAATAATGCGTGTGTGTGTCAGTATGTCTGTCAGTGTATGTGCCCGTGTGGACGTGTCTTTGTGTGTCAGTATGTCTATCATTGTATGTGTCTGTGTGTGTCAGTATGTCTGTCAGTTTATCTGTCTGTGTACCTGTATGTTGTCAATGTGTGTATCTGTGTGCGTGTAGTCAGTGTGTGGATCTGCATGTGTGTCAGTGTGTATACCTGTGTGTTTGAGCATCTGAGCAGCAACATTAAATACAAACACACTCCTCCATTCAAACTTTAACATTACATACAAACACACTCCTGCATTGAAATGTCAACACTACATACAAACACACCTCTGTGTTAAACACCAAAATTATATATAAACACACCCCTACATTAAACAAACACTACGCATAAATCAAACTCTAACACCACATACACATTCACACAAACATACTCCATACAAAAACATGCTTATATTCAAACACACAAACACAGTGCTAAATACAACCATGCAAGCTTGGGAAATTGTTAGTGCCCCAGCTGTCAAAAGCATTGTTGGATTTGCTGGACAGATAGGGTTCTACCTTTTGTCCTCCCTGGTGTAAGGTGTGATTGCATGCCGCGGAGTGGGTCCAGGGGACCCAAGCAAATCATTGTCCAGGCTCCAATCAATATTAAAGATGGCCCTGCAAGTGTATCTGAGTATTGATGATGTTCTGCAGGCTTTAAAGGGTGGTCAAAAAATTTGATTTAGATTTTTCATATGTTCACTCACTTTGCATTTTCTTAACGGATAAAAAAAATAAACAATTACAATTTCTATTTTTGAAAGCATTCTTACAGTACATCATTTTTAACCTTAAATATTTGAGTATTCATTAGCATTATTTTACTCTTGCTTGTTTATCATCTAGCTCTGGATTTTTTCTCCGCAGATATATAAACTCAGGAGGTCTAGAGACCTCTCGGACTGGAAAGCTATGTCACCCAAATCAGAGTACATATATTTTTGCCACTGTCCCAGAATGTTTCAGTGAGTGCCTGTGACACCATATGCGCATATCGTGTCACAATATATTTATTATACAATTTCTCCCAGAAAGTAATCCTTTCAATTGGTCTTATCAAGATTTGGCAGCAAAAAGCATGGTCTTTTTTTTTTTGTGGCCAGACAACAGTGTAAGGCGTATCGATACCTCTTTCCTCCCGGGGCAGTCTCTGACTTTACCACTCCTCTCAGCCTTGCCTCATCACTAAGGCAAATACAGGGAGCAGGGATATGAGGTGATTTATATCCCATCCACACAGACTGCGGCATGCTCCAGAGCCGGTGACCGGACGGAGATGCTGGCAAAGCTTGGCCAGGGTAAATGAATTGACCGTCAGGAAAGGAGTACTGTGTGCTCCTCTACTGCCAGTCAATTGGGTGATAATGGCTGGGAAAAGTGTTATTGCAGGGTTGTACTTAGGACTGAGCAGTGTTTGTATGCCTGAATGTAAGCATGTTTTTATGGAGTATGTGTGTTACATAGTTACATAGCTGAAAAGAGACTTGCGTCCATCAAGTTCAGCCTTCCTCACATATGTTTATGCTGTTGATCCAAAAGAATGCAAAAAATCTTGTCTGAAGTGCTTCCAATTTTGCAACAAACTAGGAAAAAATTCCTTCTTGACCCCAAAATAGCAGTTAGATGTCTCCTTGGATCAAGCAGCCATTACCCCACTAATTAGAAATTCTAACCCTGTATGTGTATGAATGTAGGGGTATAGTGCTGTGTGTTTTTATGCACTTTTGCCATTTGAAAGCAGTGTATTACTTGTGTGTAGTGTTTTTTTGAATATAGGGGTGTGTCTGTATGTAGTGTCGACATTTGAATGCAGGGGTGGAATTTGTGTAGTGTTGGCGTTTGAATGCTGAGATGTATGCACAAACTCACACTAACACAGATACACAGAATGACACACAGATACACAGGGGCACGCACACCGACACACATGCAGATACACAGACACACATACAGACTTATGCAGATACGCAGACACACAGGTATACATATACAAACAGATACAGACAAACAAATGCACACAAAGAGAAAGAGACCCATACAAACAGACACCCAGACACACGGGTACAAATACAGACACACTGATACACATACAAACAAGCAGACACACAAACAGACCGATAAACTGACACACAGATAGATACACATACAGACACATGCAAATACACAGATACACACACTTGCACACAGATACACAGACACACAGTTAAACAAACAGAAACACATACAGACACACAAATAAACACTAAGATAAACACAAACAGACACACATGCAAATTGAACATTATTTAGCTACCCTAGCTCCAGTTTACTACTTTCAGGGTAGTTCCTGGGATAAGGTACACCACTGGTTTTATTGGCTGGGCCAAGATATTCATTGTGGGCCCCATGTGGCCCGCAAGTTTGGCATGCTTGCTGTAGGGTCTTTGCACTATTTTACATGGTTCTTGCTCTCTGTAAATGTCTATGGCAGCTTCAGTACTTTTTTTGAAGGCAGTAGTATATTTTGTAATGGAAAATAAGAGAAAAGTAAGCAGAGTACTCACCTTTTGCATGCTTTTTTTTTTCACAATCTGTGCTTTTTACTTCCTGATCTAAATTCTCATGATAATATACCCTTTGTATGTACATATATATATTGTTATTATTATTAGCATTTTTTAAAATTGTTCACAGTGGATTGATATTAACATGTTCTCTTTGCATTTCAGAGGGACTCAGTATAAAGGTTTTTCTCCGTGGCCGTCCAATAACTATGTACATACCATCCAATATTCCAAACCATGATGACCAGAAGCCAGAACTTCCTAGTGAGAAACTGCAGTTGGAGTGGGTGTATCCTTAAATCAGATCTGTCTCCGCCTCTTTTTGATATATGTTCTTCAGTGTCATTTTTTGTCCCGGTAGACTTTTTGATTTCTGATTTCGCATCTCTTAACTCTCTTAACTCTCTATCTATGATTTTTGACCAGTGTGGTCTCCTTGACCTTCTACTCAGTTATGGTTGCCGTGGGCGTGACAACCGGTGTACTCTTCGTGTTCTGCAGTCTGGGGAGGTTATTTATTTCACTGCTTGTGTCATTGTCCTCTGTGATGTAGCGAATGGAACCCAAAGACACTTCCTGCGTCACACTGACTGCGTTCGTTGGTAAGTAACCTAAAGTTACTTAATGGAAGTAGAATAAAGAGGAAATACCCCATAGGAGGAGAAGCACTGCTAAGGTTATGGGCAGGTGACAGCCATAGATATAACTGAGAGAGAATATATAATATGGAATGTTTAAAATTAATGCAGCTTTTTTAAATAACATATCCTCTCTGATCTCTTCTTTATTATTAACATTTTGTCCTCCCCTCATACAGTTTGGCAGTTCATCCTGATGGAGTCAGAGTGGCTTCAGGACAAACGGCTGGAGTGGACAAGGATGGTAAGGTAAGGAAAAGAGGAACTGATGTATTAACTGATATTAACATGTGAATGGATTTATTTGAATATTTGAATTTAAATGTAAGTAATTATTGGACATTTTTCTTTTCTTTTTTTTTACTGGAGTGGACATTAAAAATCTTTACTAAAATAAAAATACTCATATTTTGACATTCCTTCACTTAATTCAAATCTGCAAAATGTGCAGGTTTTTACAAACCCAGTCCCAGTGCTCCCTTTCTTTTCGTAACATGGGCTTTGGGAGTTGTAGTATAGCAACGAAAAGCTGCACAACTCTCAATTAGTTTGATTTATAAAAAACACGAATAATGCTATTTGCACAATGTAATAGAAGCCAGGTGCCAATTATTCCTTTTTTTTATGATAGTAAATTTCAGCTAGGTCTGCTTATACATCTTGCTGCTTTCCATTGAAACAGCTTGCGAGACAGACCCATTGCCTTTATTGATTAAATGAACACTATAGTATTCCTAACACTTTAATGTCCCTCTGTTCCCACGGTTAAAAAACACTTACCTGATTCCAGCACTAGATTGCTCTCCATCTCCTCTGCAAGTGCCGGGCTCGCATTCGGCCTTTCCCATTGGGCATTGGGAAAGCATTGAATAAAGACACTGCATGTCCTCATGCAAAGCGTGAGGACGTCCAATGTTGTTTCAGAGAGTTACAGCCAAGAAGCGGCTCCAGTGGCTGTCTGGTAGACAACCAATAGAAGCAGTTTTAACCCTTTAAAATAAACATTGCAATTTCTCTAAAATAGGGGGACATTGACACTGCACCCAGATCACTTCAATGAGATGAAGTGGTCTGGGTGCCTATAGTGTAACCTGTGGCTTTATTTTGAATTTTTGTTTTCATGTTGTGGTAGTTTTGGTGTTAACACCACAAAATATAAGGCGGAGTATCTTACATGCACTTTCTTAGTAGTCCTTTGCATAGGTACATTTCTTATGGTATGCTCTAAAGAAAGTAAAATAGCAAAAAGATAGTGCAATATTGCTAGTACTCTTATTTTTGTAAGTCCAATCAAGTCTTTATAAATGCACATTCACAAAGGTGGAGCCACTAAAGATTGGGCTCAAGTTGTTCACTTTATGGGATGTAAAGGGTCCCACTCCCTCCTCTGTGCTTCAGGTTCCTTATGCAGGGTAATCACAGGTTCACAGGCAAAATATAATAAAATTACATTTATTAATATAAACAAAATAAAAAGAATAATATTAAAAGACCTTACAAGCTCTGTTGAATAGTCTTAGTAGCAAAACGCGTTTCGCCCCTTCATGGGGCTTCCTCAGTTGCTGTAAATCTTCATAGATGACTCTTCATTTTTAAAAGCCATTTACTGCCGCTTTTTTTCCTCTCTCTCTTCATTTCCGGTTCGCCGGACTTCCGGTTTCCGGTCCTTGCGTTCCACCCTTGGAACGCACAGCCGCCATGTGTAGCTTTCTTATGAAGTGCCGATCTCTTTTCATCCAGGCTTTTGCGTTCCACAATTGGAACGCAATACAGGATTCCCCCAAAGTCTTTTGTTTAGAACATTTTTCACATGTTGTTTGTTGTTTAATTCTTTAGTTGGTTTTATGGCTAATTCTTATGTAAAAGCATATGATGTACACAGAACTCAATGTATAAAACAATAAAAAAGGAATGTAATTTCTATTTATAATATAAGAAGAAGAAGTGCTAGTACAAATTACAAAATATATATATATATAAATATAGAGAAAAATATGTATGCATAAAAAAGGAGGAATATATTTACATACACACCACTGGTTATAGAGGTAATGTCTAAATGTACATCAGACTCCTCATCTCTCTAAAAGGACAATATTTCAGCTAAAATATGGCAGAATTCTTAAATGTAAACCTCTATGTTATAGCATATAGGTATAATAAAAAAGTATATAAAATACAATCACTCATAAAAAAAAAAAAAAAAAATATTTAATTAAAAGTATCGCTAAAAATGACATATCTCAAAATCAGTATTAAGACCATACGGGGCTAGGGAATTGAATTCGAAGATACACTTCATTTCTTCTTTTCCTAATTTTCGAATATAATCTCCTCCCCTCCAGTCCCTCTTGACCTCTTTAATAGCACAAAAGAATAAATTGCTTGGATTTTGATCGTGCACTTCTTTAAAATGGAGCGGAACACTATGTGTCTCCAGCCCATTTCTGATGTTCCTGATGTGTTCCGCAATTCTTACTTTCAGTGGTCTAATTGTTCTGCCTATATATAATAGGTCACATGGGCACTTCAAAATGTATATAATTCCCTTTGTGTGACAAGTTAGATGGTCCTTTATACAGTAGGGTTTTTTTACAATGTGTCCTATGTCTTTCAAATGTCTTTTTTTGCTATTAGTTGTTCTACAGGGTAGACAAGTCCCACATCCATAAAAACCTTTTAAATCCTCTAAAAAATGACTAGGTTTTTTAGGGCTAAGGCAACTCTTAACTAAAATGTTCTTAAAATTCTTTGCGCCTCTATAAATGATTTTGGGTTCCGGCTGTAAAACCTTATTGAGAATAGGATCATCTTGTAACAAATGCCAGTGTTTTTTAATTATTTTCCTTATTTGTTTATTCCGTCCATTATAATTGCAAATGAAGGGTATATTGAAAAATGTTCTAAACAAAAGACTTTGGGGGAATCCTGTATTGCGTTCCAATTGTGGAACGCAAAAGCCTGGATGAAAAGAGATCGGCACTTCATAAGAAAGCTACACATGGCGGCTGTGCGTTCCAAGGGTGGAACGCAAGGACCGGAAACCGGAAGTCCGGCGAACCGGAAATGAAGAGAGAGAGGAAAAAAAGCGGCAGTAAATGGCTTTTAAAAATGAAGAGTCATCTATGAAGATTTACAGCAACTGAGGAAGCCCCATGAAGGGGCGAAACGCGTTTTGCTACTAAGACTATTCAACAGAGCTTGTAAGGTCTTTTAATATTATTCTTTTTATTTTGTTTATATTAATAAATGTAATTTTATTATATTTTGCCTGTGAACCTGTGATTACCCTGCATAAGGAACCTGAAGCACAGAGGAGGGAGTGGGACCCTTTACATCCCATAAAGTGAACAACTTGAGCCCAATCTTTAGTGGCTCCACCTTTGTGAGTGTGCATTTATAAAGACTTGATTGGACTTACAAAAATAAGAGTACTAGCAATATTGCACTATCTTTTTGCTATTTTACTTTCTTTAGAGCATACCATAAGAAATGTACCTATGCAAAGGACTACTAAGAAAGTGCATGTAAGATACTCCGCCTTATATTTTGTGGTGTTTGTATCTCTTTTTTGGTGAAGGTTAAGGGAACCTCACCAGGGTGTTAGAGTCTCTTACACAGTTGCACGTAGCACACATTGGGTCACTGTTATTTATCTTTGTATTACTGTTTGTATTTCCCTTTCAGAGGACCCAGTGAGCTATATTGAACAATATGTCATTTCTTGAAAACAGAAATTATAGAACAAGTAACATTGATATATGCTTTGATAGAGGTATAGAAAGGCAAGGAGCCCCAAACCTCAATGGTAAAAACCAATTTAGATATAATTTGGAAAATGCCTTAATAAAGGAAATGAAAACAAAGTGGGAGATAGCCACTCTCAAAAAATATGTTAGGGATCAGATCACCCCAAGGGGTCTTAGATTCTTCAAAGACCCTAGTTTTGATAAAGATGATCCTCACTTTATGGTAGGATGGAACAAATTACTAGATGGTTTTTCTTTTAGTACTATGGGCTATATAGTGGCGAGAAGGGAGGAGAATTTACCTAAGCTCGATGAAGAGATTAATAAATGGAAAAACCTTTTGATCGAATCCACAAGCCCTGATATCTATAACAGTATTTTAAGGGAAATTAGAGAGAAAGTAGATAGGATAGAAACAGAGATTATAGATATCAAAAGAAGTAAATATCAGAGGGATATAAATGACTATGAAACAGGAAATGTGAGGAATCCTAAACAAAAAGAAAATATCAATAACAATAAAAATAAGGACAGAAAAAGGAACTATAGAGGAAAATTCCACCAAAACGGATATAATACACAGATGTGGAAACAAAAAAATCAGGAGAGACCGACATATAGGGCTTCGAACAATAGAGAGAGGGAATTCAGAAGAGACGATAGGGGATTTCCTCATAAATTCTCACCGAAGAGAAGCTCTATAAGGTTAGAGGGAGATATCAATAGGAAGAGATCTAACTCACGATTCATTTCAGAGTCACAGAATCCACCTATCACACCCATTAGGGGAGAACTACAGTACACAACGGCAGTAGGACATCATAAGAATGGAGATCATATCAACACACAAGAAATAGGGAGACATTATCATGCCACCAAATCTAGAATGTATAGTGATGTGGTAAAAGAAGGCCCACACCATTATCAGAAAACACATCAAACAGGGAAAATAGTGAGTTCAAGACAGTACAATAGTGACAGATTAGAACCTACTCTGACAAGGAATAGAAGTATAAGCAAATCTTTACCTCCAGACACTCCCCCGTCACCTTCTTTTTTTCGGAGGGATTTGATACAGAACAGAAGGAAATGGACGAACGATATACAATTATGGGACACACAGGGAAAGAGACAAAGATCAATAGAAGAAGAAGAAGAAAGAGAAGAGATAGGAAGGAGCCACAGAGAGAAGAGGGGGAAGACATCGATCTAAAAGGAATTTTTAATGTTGCAGATGAACCACTTACGAAAGAACAAATAAACATTTTTAAAAAGGGCTTAAAGTTTGCCCCAACTGCGGATTTTAATGCTTTTAATTTTTTTTATAGATATGAACCATTTTATAAGGAAATTATGTTTAAAGAAATTCTTTTATAAAAGGACAGAGCAGACGTCCAAAGAAAAGGAAAGTATAGATGAATACCAACATACATCACTTAAAGAAAAATCACAATTTTTTCCACGTCATCTCATTTCCCATGAGATAAAAACTTTTGAAAAAATGGTTATGAAGGAAGTAAAGAAATACAAAAAAGAGAATAAGTACCAACAAAATTTAACAGTAGGAGAAAAGAAAGCACTAAAGGAAATAAGAGACAATCCCAACCTGATAATCAAACCAGCAGATAAGGGAGGGGGAATCGTGATGTTCAACAGACCTCAGTACTTGAAGGAAGCTAAAAGGATTCTATCAGATTCTACAACGTACAAAAAACTTACATATAATCCCCTTAAACAGACTATAAATGCATTTAAGAAATATGTAGAAAAAGGGAAGGATTTAAAGATACTTAATGAAAAAGAAGCTGGATACTTATTTGTAACTTATCCTAAAATTCCAGTTTTTTATCACCTCCCGAAAGTGCATAAAAACATCACGGAGCCCCCCGGCAGACCCATAATATCAGGAATAGATTCTGTCTCCACAAGAGTGTCGGAATATATAGACACTCTCCTACAGCCGTTAGTTTTGGCAACTCCGTCGTACCTTAAGGATACAATCCATATGTTACAAATTTTGGAAGATACAGTTTGGCAGCAAGGTTACTTATTAGTAACCTGCGATGTCACTTCCTTATACACCATAATACCTCATGAGAAAGGGATGGCAGCAGTACGGCACTTTCTGTCCAAATCAGATTTTAAGGGTGAACAGATAGATTTTATTCTAGAGGGCATTCTTTTAATTCTGACAAACAATTTTTTTTGGTTTGAGAACGAATTTTATCTTCAGATCTGTGGAACGGCGATGGGCACCAAGTTTGCCCCCAGCTACGCCAACCTTTTCATGGCATTTTGGGAAGAAGCTTTTGTAACCAAGGGCCATGAGTGGGGGGCATATTTGGTGTCCTATCGCCGGTACATAGACGACATATTTTTTATTTGGACAGGTAACCATGATCAACTGAATGATTTTATTACGTATTTAAATTCAAACGATTGGGGGATTCATCTAACAAGCTGTATTAGTGAAGTGAAAATAAACTTTTTGGATTTGTATATATATATAGAGGATGATAAGATCAATACAAAAAAATTTTTTAAACCAGTGGATGCCAACGGGTATATAGAAAGAAACAGTTGCCATTACAACCCGTGGCTAGAGAATGCGCCGAGAGGCCAATTCCTACGGATTCGAAGGAATTGTAAAAAAGAATCCGATTATATAGAACAAACCGAGTATATTAAACAACAATTTATAGAAAAGGGATATAACAAAGAAATTTTAGAGAAAAATATTAAAGAAGTAAAAGAAATACCAAGAAAGGAGCTTATAAAATATAAACCTAAAAAAGAGCAAGGAAATAGTAACAATATACCCTTCATTTGCAATTATAATGGACGGAATAAACAAATAAGGAAAATAATTAAAAAACACTGGCATTTGTTACAAGATGATCCTATTCTCAATAAGGTTTTACAGCCGGAACCCAAAATCATTTATAGAGGCGCAAAGAATTTTAAGAACATTTTAGTTAAGAGTTGCCTTAGCCCTAAAAAACCTAGTCATTTTTTAGAGGATTTAAAAGGTTTTTATGGATGTGGGACTTGTCTACCCTGTAGAACAACTAATAGCAAAAAAAGACATTTGAAAGACATAGGACACATTGTAAAAAAACCCTACTGTATAAAGGACCATCTAACTTGTCACACAAAGGGAATTATATACATTTTGAAGTGCCCATGTGACCTATTATATATAGGCAGAACAATTAGACCACTGAAAGTAAGAATTGCGGAACACATCAGGAACATCAGAAATGGGCTGGAGACACATAGTGTTCCGCTCCATTTTAAAGAAGTGCACGATCAAAATCCAAGCAATTTATTCTTTTGTGCTATTAAAGAGGTCAAGAGGGACTGGAGGGGAGGAGATTATATTCGAAAATTAGGAAAAGAAGAAATGAAGTGTATCTTCGAATTCAATTCCCTAGCCCCGTATGGTCTTAATACTGATTTTGAGATATGTCATTTTTAGCGATACTTTTAATTAAATATTTTTTTTTTTTTTTTTTATGAGTGATTGTATTTTATATACTTTTTTATTATACCTATATGCTATAACATAGAGGTTTACATTTAAGAATTCTGCCATATTTTAGCTGAAATATTGTCCTTTTAGAGAGATGAGGAGTCTGATGTACATTTAGACATTACCTCTATAACCAGTGGTGTGTATGTAAATATATTCCTCCTTTTTTATGCATACATATTTTTCTCTATATTTATATATATATATATTTTGTAATTTGTACTAGCACTTCTTCTTCTTATATTATAAATAGAAATTACATTCCTTTTTTATTGTTTTATACATTGAGTTCTGTGTACATCATATGCTTTTACATAAGAATTAGCCATAAAACCAACTAAAGAATTAAACAACAAACAACATGTGAAAAATGTTCTAAACAAAAGACTTTGGGGGAATCCTGTATTGCGTTCCAATTGTGGAACGCAAAAGCCTGGATGAAAAGAGATCGGCACTTCATAAGAAAGCTACACATGGCGGCTGTGCGTTCCAAGGGTGGAACGCAAGGACCGGAAACCGGAAGTCCGGCGAACCGGAAATGAAGAGAGAGAGGAAAAAAAGCGGCAGTAAATGGCTTTTAAAAATGAAGAGTCATCTATGAAGATTTACAGCAACTGAGGAAGCCCCATGAAGGGGCGAAACGCGTTTTGCTACTAAGACTATTCAACAGAGCTTGTAAGGTCTTTTAATATTATTCTTTTTATTTTGTTTATATTAATAAATGTAATTTTATTATATTTTGCCTGTGAACCTGTGATTACCCTGCATAAGGAACCTGAAGCACAGAGGAGGGAGTGGGACCCTTTACATCCCATAAAGTGAACAACTTGAGCCCAATCTTTAGTGGCTCCACCTTTGTGAGTGTGCATTTATAAAGACTTGATTGGACTTACAAAAATAAGAGTACTAGCAATATTGCACTATCTTTTTGCTATTTTACTTTCTTTAGAGCATACCATAAGAAATGTACCTATGCAAAGGACTACTAAGAAAGTGCATGTAAGATACTCCGCCTTATATTTTGTGGTGTTTGTATCTCTTTTTTGGTGAAGGTTAAGGGAACCTCACCAGGGTGTTAGAGTCTCTTACACAGTTGCACGTAGCACACATTGGGTCACTGTTATTTATCTTTGTATTATAGTTTTGGTGTTAGCAGGCTATCATAGGCACTCGTGAAGCAGCCGCTTGCTCACTATTTTCATTCAAGGTTACTTACTAAAGGGAGAATTGCAGGGAATTCTAAGTAAATTCCAAACTGAAGGCCAAATTAGCCAAACTGAAAACATAGCTGACTTGGTTAATTTTTCCAGTTCCAGTTGAATAAACCTGTTAATGTGGAAGTTACACCTCCCCATAAGCAATATCAATTTTGACTTGATTTCGATGGTATTGATTGTCAAACAGCTTCGACTGACAGTCAGGACCCCAGATTTAATGTAGAAGTCACAGGTAATCCAATCAAGATCATACAGTAAATACAGTGGGGCAAGTGAAACAATGCCTGTATGCATTTTCAGAGCTCTTAGCTGAGAGTTTGGTAGTTCCACAACAGTCAGGAGGCTATTTATTTGTCTTTAACATATTGTGTCCCCTGCAATAATGTTTTTAAAGAGATCGCAACACATAAAGCAGGAAGTGGATTGTGGGTATAGTGTTCTGCTAGATAGCATGGGCACAACACATTACTGTGAAAATCCTGGTTCAGATTTGGTGTTACAGGTGTTGATATTTTATCTACAAACATGTCTGTTCTTAGTATTATCTCACACATGCTTTTCCTGTGTGTGTAAATTTGATGGTTTTGTGTGGATAAGAATCTTGCTGATATTACTGATTCCCATATTCCTGTGTTAGATATTAGCTATAGCTTAAAATTCCTTTTGTTTCTCTTTAATGGCTGGTCTTACGACTTAAAGAATTAGGTTAATTGATATTTTTAAGAGAGACCTACTAAGCCATAATCTTTCATGCACCAGACATAGTTTAAAATATCCACCCTCTTCTTCTATTTTCTTTCCACGTGCACTACACAAACATTTTAAGCTTATCGAAGCTCCATGGGCCACACATGGGCCCGTGATGATGTTTTAAGTGTAAATAAATTAACTATACATTTCAAGTGACAAGGTGACACATGCTGCCATCAGCACAAGGGACAGCAACAGACCAGCTGACAAGCATCAGATGGCTAATATTAAACCATTACCACTGCATGAATGCATAACTGTTAATTTTGTCCCTCTGCTCCTTTGTCTAATAAGATGATATTGCATGTAGCAGCTCATATGATGGCTTTTCCAAATGTTCTCACAAAAACACACACCTAGCAGGATTGTTAGATCCCTTTTCTGTTTTTTTGTCAATCTTTCTTTTATTAAGGCATTTGATTTGGGTGGTACAGAATAAAGAAAGGGAGATGAACGAAATGGACACAAGATAGGATTATCACATCATGGTTTTAACATCTTAACATCCTTGATATGACTGCCTTATTTTTTTTTATCAATTAAGTAAAATATAAACATGCTAAACTGTTGCGTCAAGACTATGAACAGATGTAAAGTTTAAACATTCAAAATTTTGTTTGCAAGAGTTAATTAAACAAGGCATACCATGGCATGTAAGAATTACTCGATTGGTAAGCATTTCACACACATTGAGACAAGATGCTATTATAGAGACATACTTGTGAGCTACTCTAAAGTAGGCTGAGCTTATTGATAGTATGATCGACGTATGTGATAAAACAAAAAAATGTACATAAGTGGATTTTAAAACAATATAAGGTAAATGCCTAGAGCATGGGTTGTCAACCTGGTCCCTACCGCCCACTAGTGGGCGTTTCGGGATTCCAGATGGGCGGTAGGGACTTTGGAGGTTAAAACCTTCTTTTGAGCGAGCGGGCGCAAGCGAGCGAGCGGGTGCGAGCGCACACATCAAGAAACCAACGTGCGTGAGAATGCGTGCGGTAGGATTTTAAAACCTCCTTTTGAGCGAGTGGGCGGGCGGCGCAGGCGGGCGCGAGCGCACACATCAATCAACCTCCTTTTGTGCGAGAAGGGGTCGGGCGGGAGCGAGTGCACGCAAACACGTGGGAAGAGGAAGGGGAGGAGTGGAAATTCATAGCAGGGACAGGCAGAAGCAGGCAGAAACGGAGCAGAGCAGTTGCAAAAGAAAAGTTATAGGCAGGAGAAAGAGAATTGTTGGCTAATAATAATAAGTGGGCTAACTAGCTCAGCCTTACTTTTGTACCTCAGGAAGGTAAAAGAAAGGAGATAAAAAGGAAAAGATAAAAAAAAAATAACAAAAAAAAGGAAGAAAAATAGAGAAAATGGGATAAAATAAAGGAGGAGAGTAAGCAGTGTTTAGTCTGGCTCATAAATTAAGTTTTGTTATCTTATAAAATAAAAGAAAAAAATAAGTAAGGGAAGAAGAAAATAAAAAAAAAGGAAAAAGAGATCCTTGATATAGTGATATAGTATAAGAAAGGTAAAGAAGCAGGCAGGAAAAGGAATTTCTTTTGATGGTGACATTTAATAAATGCATTGTTTTTGGTATTAGTAATAAAAGGGAAAAGAGGAGGGAAAAAAACACTGTGTGGAGTGCAGATCAAAACATAAGAGTAAAAGTAGTTGTTAAATTGTGAAACAAATTTATTGTAAATCTTTTTATTGAGGAAAAAGAGTTAGGCTCGCAGGCCTCGGTGGATAGCATTAATAATTGTTATAACATATGTCAGTCTTCAAAACAATATATTGGGAGTTTCCCAAAACTTCAAGGCAATTACATTCCATTCTCAATTTAAGGCTTAATCAGCGTACATGTTATTTGCATACATACAATAAAAGAGAACCCTTTTTAGTATTTGCTTGCAGGATAGTATTTAGTGTGTTTGTGTGGGGCATGTTCCTCCTTCGATGCTCTAACCTCTAGATATAGGCGAGCAAATATTGCTTTCATTCGTCAGGTTGGTGACTTATATCCCTGAGAGACATACGGGAGTAACAAAAAATATATAACGTGTTATAAGGTGGAAAAGAAGAGGGTTAAGGGATGATGTGTATGTGTGAGGATAGTTCTCCCCGGTGTCCACACTCCCCCCCCCACCCGCAACGGGTCCTGAGCTTGGGCGTGATGGTCAGGTTTTTGTCAGGTCCTGTCCTAGCGGCTTGCTGTGGTACGTTGGTCATGTATTGTGAACCTATGTTGTGTTATTGTCTCAGTGGATTCATCTAGTGGTCGACTCTATACTGTGTGTTGGGTCCGTCCCTTCAGGCTCCATCTCCTACATTGCACAGCCGTGTGATGTGTCTTATATGCTGTAGTTCAGTCTATCATGTGCGTCGATTGGTCGTGTGTGTGTCGGTAGGTATTTCATGATATCACAGTATCGGTTTTCTAGCGTGCGCGAGCATAAGTTCGGGTCAATAAGGGATCGTATGTTACTACGGACCATAACCCCTCCCAAGATGAATTATCCGGCACCTGAGGGTGAGTTCGGCCAACAGAGGTGACCAGTCCCAGCTTGTCCGCCCCGCTCCCCCGCCCCCACATGGACCCTTTATCTGTCCGCCTGGTATGAGAACCAGGGTTGCCATGTCTCCGCGTGCTTTGTCGAGCGTCCCGCCAGAGATGCCCGCACCGCCTCGGCCGCCTGGATGTCCTTGACCCTATGGATCCATTCTTCTATCGTGGGAACGGTTGCCTTCTTCCAATATACTGGGATTAAGGATTTGGCAGCATTTAAGAGATGGCGTAGAATTGATTTCTTGTATCTAGGGATATTTTGTGTGGTAATATGTAGTAGGGCCAATTCTCGGGACCATTCCGTGTCATCCCCCAAGATCTCCTTTATTGTGGCGTGGATATGGTCCCAGTAGTGTGCGATGGTATGGCATTCCCACCATAAATGTACTATGGTACCTCTCGCGTCTTGACATCTCCAGCAGAGTGGGGACGCCTCTGGGTAGATTTTCTGTATGGCTACCGGGGTTTTATACCACATGGAGATCAGTTTATAATTGACCTCCTGATAGTAGGAGCTTGAGGAGCTTTTGTGCTGCCAGAGGAGTGCTGTCCCCCATTGCGTTGGTGTAATGGCAATATCTAGTTGTGTTTCCCATCGTCTTTGAAATGTATTGTTATCCGAAGAGGCCCCAATCAGTAGATGTTGATAGAGCATCGATATCGCGTTCTCGAGTTTAGAACCTCTGCGGCATATGCTTTCGAACCATGTAAGGTCTCTGTGTAGGAGGTCCTTGTGGGGTAAGGATTCGTAGTAATGTGATAGTTGTAGATAATGGAGGGTCAGGAGGGGAGTCTGCGGTCTTCCAGCTAATAGTGAGCTGAGGGACCTTATCCGACCTTCCTCCAGGATCGTGCATATTGGGATATATTCTCTTTCCCCTAAAAAGGCCCAGGTCCTAAAGGGGAGTCCTCCCCCTATATTGGGGTTGTGTGTGATTGAGATCATAGGGCTGGGGGTCGGAGAGACCTGCTCCATCTTCCTAATTGATTTCCAGATCTTCAGAGTCTGTGCCACCGGATTGCCGTCCTCTTCTGATCCACACCGACCTTTCGCCTCCCTCCATACGTCTGCTTTAAGTTTGGTCCCCGCGTCTTCTCTGTCCAGAGTTACCCACTGTTTCGGGTCCTCTGCTGCGTGCCACTCCAGGATACGTTGCATAGTAGTGGCTTGTTGGTACTTTTTGAAGTCCGGCAGTGCAAGGCCTCCTCTGATCCTGGGTAGGCAGAGCGTTTCATGTCGAAGGCGGGATCTTTCCCCTCTCCAAACATATCGGATGACCGCCGATTTCAGGCTAGAGAAGAACGTTGTAGGTAGCGATATTGGGATGGTTTGGAATAAGTATAATATCCGTGGTAGCACGTTCATCTTGAGGACCGCTATCCTGCCGTGCCAGGTGATGTGTGGATATGCCCATCGATCTAGGTCCGAAGTTACTTGTCGTAGTATGGTGGCAAAATTGTGTTGGTACAGGTCGCGTGGGTTGTGTGTTACCCAGATGCCGAGATATTTCATCTTCCCCTCACATCTGCGAAATGGGAAAGCTGCGCTCAGTGTGGCAAATTCGGTTGGTGGGAAGGTGACGTTAAGGATCTCACATTTAGATAAATTAAGTTTGAATCCTGCTATTTTGCCGAAGTTTTCAAATTCCCGGAGCAAGCATGGCAGTGTGATTCGTGGATTAGAGACGAAAAAGAGGAGATCGTCCGCATATGCGGCCACTTTGTGTTCCGTCCCTTTCCATGAATAGCCCTGGATGTCAGGGTTCTGTCGTATTGCCTGTAGGAGCGGTTCCAGAGACATTGCGAATAAAAGGGGGGATAGGGGGCACCCCTGCCTGGTCCCGTTGTGAATCTCAAAGCTGGTCGTAAGTGCTCCATTTACCTTAACCGCTGCGCTGGGTTTATCGTATAATGCCGATATCCACGACATCATCTTCGGTCCCATTCCCATGGCCCTCAATGTCTGCATCATGTAAGACCAGTTGACCCGATCGAAGGCCTTTTCAGCATCCGTGGATAGCAGTATAAGGCGTTCTCGTGAAATCCGTGCTCGATGTTGTATGGAGAAGAGTCGGAGTGTGCTGTCTCGGGCTTCTCTACCAGGTATAAACCCCGTCTGATCCGCATGGACTATGCTCGGTAGTACTCGTTGTATTCTGGTGGCCAACACTTTCGTAAGAAGTTTTGAGTCCACGTTTATTAAGGAAATTGGCCGGTAACTGCTGCAGTGTTCGGGATCTTTCCCGGGTTTGAGCAGGACTGCTATAGTAGCTGCCAGTGATTCTGTGCCGAATCGTCCCCCTTCTGTAATGTTATTAAATGCCTTAGTTAGCCAAGGTAAGAGGATCGAGGAGAAATGTTTGTAATATCCCGCAGAGTATCCATCCGGGCCTGGTGCCTTGCCCACCTTCGTGGCCTTCAGGGCCGCCGCCACGTCTTCGACACTAATTTGTTCGTCTAACATATCTGTCGCGTCTATGTTTGCTCGTCTGCTTACATTATCCCGGAGGAAGGCCTGGATTGATGCGGGCACGGTGTGTCCTTGCGATGATTCCGTCGGCGTAGGAAGGTTATACAAGGTGTGATAGTATCGGCGGAATTCATTTGCGATGTCTTCAGGGAATGAGGACGTGGATCCCGATGGGAGGCGTATTTTGTGCACCCTCGTGCGGGGGGTGTCGCCCCTCAGGAGGCTTGCCAGAAACTTGCCGCCCTTGTTGGCGTGAGTGTAGAAGAAATTTTTCGAATATTGCAAAGAGCGATGATATTTCCGTGTGATAAGGTCTCTGAGTTGTCGTCTGGCGTTCGTCAATTCTGTTTGTGTGGTATCAATTTGCATCCGTTTGTGCTGTTGTTCCAATTTTGCAATGGTTTCATAGACTTCCGTTAATTCCCGCATCATTGCTTTTCTCTTGCGAGAGGCTATTCTAATGAGAATGCCCCGTATTACGCTTTTGTGTGCCTCCCAGAGTGTAATTGGCGAGATCTGGTCCCCATCATTTTCTTTGAAATATAGTTCCAGTGCCTGCGTGACTTCGTTTATAACCTCAGGGTCTTGAAGTAGGGACTCATTCAGTCGCCAGGTCCAGCGAGCTGGTTTGAATAGAGGTGATTCCAGTTCCACTATCGTCGAACCGTGATCTGACCACGTGGCTGGGCCTATGGTAGCCGACCTGAGTCGCGACAATCCTTCCTGTTGTATCAGTACGTAATCAATTCGCGAGTAGCGATTATGTAATGCTGAAAAGTGGGTGTAGTCTCTAGAATCCGGGTGGAGTGCTCTCCAGCAGTCCACTAATCCCATTTCGCTCAGTGATTTGCGAATTGAGTGAATGCTTGAGGCTGGTAAGCTACTATGGCTTGTTGACGTATCCATCTGGGGGTCTAGTGGAGTGTTAAAATCACCTCCCATGATGATTGCCCCTTCCGCGAAGCCCTTCAGTTTACGCAGAATTCGTCTGATGAATCTGGCCTGGTTTGTGTTGGGAGCATAAATTGACACGAAAGTGTAAAGTTTGTCCGCTATGGTGCCTTTCAGGAAAAGGAACCTCCCCTGCGTGTCGAATATCTTGTCTAATTCCTTGAAGTCCAGATCAGCTGACAGGATGATGGCTACGCCCGCTTTACGAGCCGTGTTGTGGTTGCTGAAGTAATTGTTGGGGTAGTACCGGTTCCGCAATTTAGGTGAGAGGCCCTCTAGGAAATGGGTCTCCTGAAGCATAGCAACAGATATTTGTGTCTTCCTCAAGTCGCGTAGCAGATGTGTGCGGCGCTCGGGAACATTCAGTCCCCTGCAGTTGAGGGTAAGGACACGTAGTGGCGCGTCGTGGTAGGACGCGGACATCTCTGTAGAGCCCCGAGAGCACGCGGAGAGCTTTGCGTTTGAAACTCACTCCCTTCGCTACAGTTAGCTACAGGGACACGTTGAGGTCCAATCCGTTATCTTATGTCTTTTGGCGTTAACGGGAGCGCGGTGCCGGAGAGCTAGACTACGTACCCCCCCACCGGGCTCAGGGTTATCGGTGCTAGGGTTGTCTTGTATATGGGCGACCCCTCCTCCTTTCCTATGCCCCCCTGTACAGACTGGTTGCAAATTCGCTACCGCTTTCGCGACAGTCAAGGACTTATATGACTGGTGTTTGGAGGGTGTGGTTTCTGTGTGTGGCACTCGTCCCTGTCGGGGATGGAGAGCGGACACCAGGGAAGTGTGAATGATATAAAATTAAAAAAAATAAAAAATAAAAACTAAGAGAAAAAATTTTTTTTTGATTTGGGGGGGAGGGTCGTAAAATCAGGACCTCAAGTGGAGAGGTTACTCTATGTGAGGGGACAGGGTGGGTTGAGGATTTCTCCTCAATACCTCCTCAGTGTTTGGAGGTATTAGTCGTGCGACAGCCGGATCTGCCGGGGGCCACTCCAGTAACCAGACCGGGATATGGTCCACCAGATGCTCCGCTGTCAGAAGAGTTGCACGACCTTTAGGTGGAGTCAATGGCTCCGCTCCAGACCGGTGTGTGAGAGAGAGAAATGAGAACGATACCAAATGAGGTTCCCCCCCACCAGCACCGCAGCCTAGTGCCATATGAAGTTTCTAAGTGTCAAGGCGCCACCCAACAGGGGTGGTACATGTGATCATGAATACAATAACAATTCAACGATATAGTAATACCATAATGCGAGTACAACATGAAGGTTCCTACACATATGACTTGTACCTTATCCCACCTTTTGGACCAAGCCCCGTCCGTTCCCCCCTCCTAGCGTCCTCTGTCTTCCCCCTGCAATGTGTGGCAGCCGTTGCGTGTCCTCTGAGCAGTCCCCCGTTCATCAGTCTGATTGTGCTTGCATGTCGATTATTGCGCCCCCCACCTAAACCCTCCTCTATCGTTCTGGTCCCCTCAATTATCTGTTAATGGCGGTGTGCCCTATCATTCAATAGTTAGGATGCCGTCTCCTACGTCATGGGGCGTTATAGTAAGTCAGGTCATCTCACTTATCTATGTGTCTGCTAAAGTGGGGGGGAGCACATATTCAGGAGGTGCGACATTCAACAGCTAGTATAACATGAGTATAATACCAGTATGAAATATAGAGGTTAGGCATGGCAATAAACAATCGTAACCTATCATGGATTTGGTGAATGAGACCTAGGCGGTGTATACCGGGTGATATCATCCCATACCGTGAGTCCACAGCTCAGATCTGCAGGAGAGTGGTGTAGTCCCTTTGAGTTCATTTCCAATATGAGTGAAAAAGTCTCCTGGGGTCAGTGATATAAAACGTGCCTTATGAGGTTATAAACAGGACCCACCCCAGTCAAAGAATCCCCTATAGCAGCCCACCTCCCAAATGAGTTTCCGCTGTGTCGTTCACTGGGTCAGATGTGTTCCCCAGCGCCTCCGTTAGGGGGAGAGACAGTTCCTTTTTTCAACATGTCTTGAAAACAAAGAGGATAGATAGAGCCTCAGACCGACTCTCTGGGAGGGGTATGGAGTCAGTTATAGGGATACAGTCATGGGATACCTTTTTTTTTTTTATTGCCCGGTGTGTATATGAGGGACTGCGTCAGTTCCTGTCCTAGCGCCTGTGCAGGTTGGGGTGTCCTCCCCAGTGGGGTGTCCAGGGGGGGGGTAGAGGGACCGCTAGAGGGCTCACCTGTCACTCTGGTGCCTCCGGGTTGATGCGTCTGCGGGGAGCCGGGCCTCTTGGTGGGTTATCTCCGCGTCTGCGGGGCGCTCTCTGTTGGCGTGGTCTCCCACCCAGTGGGCCTAGAACCCAATCTTGGACTGATATCGGAGGCAGGTCCATCTCCTCCAGGAACCGTGGGACCTCCTCAGGCCAGCGGATCGACACCCATCCATTCTGGTTGCGCGCCAGCAGGGCAAAGGGGAAGCCCCACCTGTAAGGAATATTCCGCTCCTGCAGGGCTGTGGTTATGGGCTTTAACGCTCTCCTGGCTTCAAGCGTGATGGGCGAGAGGTCACTATATAGAGACACTGAGGTCCCTTGAAAATCCCAGGTTGGGCGGGAACGGGCCGCTTTCATGATAGCGTCCTTATCTCTAAAAGAGTGGAGGCAGCAAATCAAATCCCGTGGGCCTTCTTCCTGGGACCGGGGACGTAGAGCTCTATGTGCGCGTTCAAATTTGAGAGTCTGGGGTGCTTCCTCTCCCAATATCATAGGAATAGGTTAGATAAAATGTCTGCCGCATTTTCCTCCCTACCCTCAGCTTCAGGGACCCCACGGACCCTAATGTTACATCTGCGCCCCCTGTTATCTAGGTCTTCAACTGACCTTCTCATGTGGAGTAACAGCTCCCCTTGACGCGTGAGTGCTGTGTCTGTTGCTTGGTGTCTCGCAGCATGAGCCCCCTGTGTGCGTTCCAGTTCCTGGATGCGGCCCGCTTGCGCAGTTACCTCCGTCCGGAGCCCTGCCATCTCAGCTCTCAGAGCGTCCTGTATGGTGGTAGTCAGGACTAGTAAGTCAGCTTTCGTGGCCATTGCAGTTGCCATATTTCGGAGTTCTTCTCCAATCTTTTCCAGTGCAGCACCATGTGGTTCCCTGGGGGATGATGCCGTCGGCGCCATATTGGATCCGCTTGTTCCCTCTGTCGCATCAGGCTGGGTCTGGAGGAACCCGTCCATCGGGCCGTGTGTCTGGCCCAGCTGTGTACCCCTCGGGGTTTGGGGGGTCTCGGTGCGTCGGTGGCGCCCCATAGACGCTAGTGTTTGCTGTTTATTAGGCTGTTTACGGCGCCGGTGGAGCGGAGCTCTCAAATCACGCGTCCATCCCGGTCAGAGCTTAAGCCACGCCCCCGTGAAACAAATTTATAACCCATGTCTGAAAAAAAGAAATATGCTCGTGGCTATTTACCAGAGTATCTGAAGATGGGTTTCATTGAATCTGTTACAAATAAACAGCTTCCAATGTGTTTACTGTGCCACAAGACATTATCTAATGAAGCAATGAAGCCAAGTCGATTGCGAGAACATCTTGCTACAAAGCATTCGCAAGATAAAGATAAGCCCATTGAATATTTTCAAGAAATCTATAAAAGATTTCAAAATTGTTCAACAATAGCTACATCCTTTCAAAAACAACATGCAAAGAATGAGGATGGATTAACTGCAGCTTATCGTATATCACACTTAATTGCAAAAAGTGGTAAAAGCCATAATATTGGAGAAACTTTGGTAATACCCTCTATCAAAGAATTTATCTCAACAGTAATGCATCAGGATATACCTGAAGTTTTAAAAACATTGCCCCTTAGCGATAACACAGTAAAGAGACGCATTGATGAAATGGCGGCTAATGTTGAAAATAAACTTATAGGTATTCTCCAAAATTCGTCATTTTCTATACAATTGGATGAGTCTGCCATTGCAGATAATAATGCTCTACTGATGACATGTACGGTAGCTTGATGAAAACAATACATTGCAAGAAGAAATGCTATTCACTGTCAATCTGATTACAGATACAAAAGGATTATCAATATTTAATGCTGTGAACTCATACTTTGCAAAAAACAATATACCCTTGAACAATATTGTTGCATGTGCTACTGATGGAGCACCATCAATGGTAGGCCGCTATCGTGGGTTTGTTGCTTACTTGAAGGAAGAAATGCCAAACGTATTGTGTTGTGCACAGACAACATATTGTAGGAAAACATTTAAGTACAAGTCTCCATTCATCATTAAGTATTATAATTAAAGCTGTAAATAAGGTCAAATCTAATGCCAAGTGTGATAGAATGTTTCGACAGCTGTGCCAGGACAATAACGAGCAGTTTATTATGTTACTTTTACATACAGAAGTTCGATGGCTTTCAAAGGGTACATGCTTGACTTGTTTTGTTGCATTATTTGATAGTGTCGTACAGTTTTTTGAAAGTGATAATGAGGCTGGTCTCTATGAACAGTTAAAAAACGTAAAGAATGATGCCTTTTATTTGGCAAACATTTTCAAGAGATTTAATGAAATTAATTTGCAGCTTCAAGGAGCTAATATAACTCTTATAAGTTGCAAAAATATTGTGTCATTATTTATCAAAAAGCTTGATCTTCTCCGTCATAATATTTTCAAGAGAGAATTTCATCAGTTTCCTGAATTGTCCTCTATAAACAATGATGTAACTCCGGGGGATATTGAAAGGTTCAGTAGCCACCTCAAGGAACTCAAATTGGATATGGAAAAACGATTTCAAGATATTTTGAACTTAAAGGTGCATGACTGGATGATAAATCCTTTTACAGCAAATGTTGCTGAAGTTGATATAACTTGCCAAGAAGAACTATTAGAACTTAAATATGACGAAGAGAGTAAATGTAATTTTGGCAGTGGTGGATACCAAAAACTCTGGCAAAATAAAAAAATGCCTGCGTTATATCCAAATATGTGGAAAATGATGTTCAATTTATTGATACCTTTCCCTACCACTTTAGTGCTGTTAATCATATTATGAGCAAACAGAGAAACCGGCTGAATATCACCGAAAGAGGAGACCTTCGTTTGTTCCTTACGAAAATCAAACCAGATTTCAAATATTTAGTCTCGCAGCATCAGCCTCAAGGATCTCACTAGTAAAGCTTTCAATTTACTTTATTGTTTTCTAATTAAACTTTTTAAAGTTAAAAACATTATAAACATGCATAAAGTAGAAATAAAAAGATAAATGTACGTAGTGGGCGGTAGGTAGAAAAAGGTTGACTACCACTGGTCTAGAGTAACTAACTAGGCTAAGTATTAGTAGTGAAACCGGCAAGATAGTGTGACCACGAACTACCCCACTGTCTCAGCACAAAACCAAGTAATTGTATCACGAGAGGCAGTAAAATGAATACTGTGATTATTATGCGCTCATCAGTGTGGAAAAACATTAACTTTCAGGCGGGAGACAGTCTGGCAGGCCATTAGGTGGTTTCCAACAGTGTGCCCGATGTGGGAAGTTCCCTCTCAAACAATGTCCCGACTTAGAGGAAGGGAAAGGTAGGTGAGCAGCACTGTGAGACAGGAGTCAGGTAGAGCCCACCCTCAGCCCCAAGCCTTGATGAGGGCCTGCATTTCTGATCCACAAAGTATAGTATTCCTAACACTTTAGTGGTGAGTCCAAGCTCTTTAGTTGGTGAGTCCAAGCTCTTCCCTATCAGGATACGGCAGAAGCTCCTGGTGGGTTGTCGCTGCCAGCGGCGCTGGTTCTTCTGCGTTGGTGGTCGATGCGGCGGGAGTATTTCCCGTCTGGCTGTCATCATGGGTAGGTCCATGCTGGGAGACTTTGGTGCATGCAAGGAAGTTGTGCCCGGATGGGCCCTCTCTCCTCCCTCACCACCCCTCTCCATTCTTTCTGTTAAGGTTGAGTTGATGTTGTTGGAATGTGGGGTTCCAACTTTGCCCAGAAGCTCTCAAATAACTTATCCAGGCGTATCAGGATACATTCAGCTGGACTCTGTTGGACGCTCAAAGGTTTTCGCACGTGGAGGAACTGCGTATCCGCCATCTTGAGGAGGTCCGCGGCTGTTGAAGCTTGTGTCATTGCAGGTACTTAGATTCAGCACAGGCATGTTGGGCAAGTCCGTGGGGGGGCCGCTATGTGTGGTGGTCTGCTCAGAGGCCAGAGGGCTGGGAGAGCGGCCGTCTCTCCTCAGCTCAAGCTCACGTAGGCCGCAGGACTTGTTCTGGGTGAACTGACACCAGAGAAGCTTGTGTGAGGCATCCACTTGTGCACCGGCGCTTGCTTGACAGGGTGAGTACTGTTTGTAGGCAGATTGGTCAATTTGCCTCCAATTAAACCAAGATTATCGGTGCCCGACCCAGAAACTCTCATTGAGCATGTCTGGTCGGCTCAGCAGTCAAGCTCCACACCCAGACCCCTTTTCTGTTTTGCTGCAGCTGATTGCGCTAGGGTGTATGACTGACCCGAAATGTGATTGCAAGCTTTAAAGGAGCATTCCAAGCTCCGTGGCCACTACAGTGCGCTGTAGTAGTTATGGTGCCAGAAGTGCCCTGGTGCCGCCCAATATAAGTAGTCAAACTGTTTTCTGATGGTTTGGCTTCTTGCCTGCGTTCGTCTTGCCTGTTCGTCGAGTGCTGCTCCCCGCCTTCTGTTAACTACCAGGAAAGCCAGAAGATCTGGCTTTGGAGCTTCTATTGGCTCTCCTGAGCTAAGCTATGAAGTGCAGGGCAAGCACATTGGCTGTCTGCATCAGCTAATTGTTCTCAACCTGGCTTAGCCTAGTTTAATTGCCAGGCTTAGTTTAGACAGAAAGCTTTCAGCTATCCTGTAAGCTGTAGTTAAGGTGGAGAGCGACGCTCGGTGGCCCCAGGTGGCAGGCCAATCCGTTTGAGAGGGGTTTGACTATTTGCATTGGAAAGAACTGTATTCATTGGGCTAGACAGTGTACTGTGGTGTGTGGAGTGTTCCTTTAATTGTGTCATAACTGCATCATTCTACTGGTGGAATAATTTTTTTATACATAGCCACCTTTGAGCCCAACCTTTACCTCTAACACCACTAATCCATCCATACATCCCATCTTATCCCTGATCAGTTTAAGCTCCATCAATATATACATCTTGTAAATGACATCACACTTTATTACGTCCAGCCATTTCAATTATTTTGTTAAATCTCCCCAATTATAATGCTATAAAAACGCTGTGGAATAAGTTGATGCTATATAAATGGCAATAATAATACTCGTAATAAGAATAATAAGCTGCACTCACGGCTTCAAAGCGATAGTAAGACCTCAGAACGTCTAAAACCTTCACTAGGTAGAGCAATGAATGTATGTGCTCTAGCTTACATTTTATTAAAACTAAGAATGTTTTTCCAAGAATTCAGCTTTTTTTTGCGTAGTTTGACAGCCAGCATGGTAACAAAAAAATGCCTAGTGTCAAGCTTCTGAATGCTCGTGGGAGACATACCAATCCATATTATTTTCCAGACTATCCCCTTGGTAGCATCATTTCCACAATTGTTAGCTAAAGCAAACAGTTTTATTTCTAATAGCTAGTACATGTCAGAAGCTAATATAAAACCACACCATAGGTTTTCTCATAGTGACAGGAAGTTCTAAAATATTCTGTTCTCAAACCGACTCCACATTCCGCACAACATTATGAAGTTATTCAGCAGGACTACTGAGTATGTTTGTATCTGAGGGAAGAGTGAACATTTGCAGATTGCAAAGTCACAATGTATCGTACCAGAAAAGGTTCATAGTAAAAAACTAAAAAAGTAAATTTAAGGTAGTTTGTGCTATATTATAATTCAGTTTATCAGTAGGTTGTTAAGCCACCTAAAACCTCCTGCAATAGCCCATTGTCTGTCCACTCTGCCTGCCAAGGTGCCTACACCGTATAATGTCCCTCTTTGGTCATCTGAAGTGTCGTGATCTGTGAGTGTGCACTCTGATACACATAACTGGCTACTTCCCCTCTAACAATGGGTAGTATTCTGTGTCTCCTCAAATTCCATTAGTTCTGTTCAAGAGGAGTAGATATACAGTACAAAATAGAATAGAATTTATGCAGGCAATTTTATAGAGCTATTGTATTTTGAGTTTGTATTGGATATGTAAACAAGCCCTGAGGGCTTATCACATAGAGGGTGCAGCCATGTGATCAAGACCTCAGATTCATGGCGTGCCAAAAAATTACAGGATATGATCTACTGAAGGTTTGCAGACACAAATATACGCCAAAAGGACGGAAGATTTTTGTAGACTTTGGAAGTTCCCCAAGTTTAAAAGAGTACCATTTTTTTACATCCTTGGCATATTTGTTCAGTTGTGCAATTTGGTCTACATGTTGTAACTTCCAGGATTATTCTTTAATCTGTAAATTGATACGAAATTAAAGTGAACTTCTAATTTTAGACCAAGTCATCTATGTTTTCAGTTTAAATATGTTGGGCTAAAATTTGATATTTAGTGTGAATTCACGTTGTATTTTCTACATTTCAAACTTTAGTGTATAACCCTGGCACACAGTTTACAGATTTTTCTAGAATATATATATGTGTGTGTGATTAGCATCTTTGGCCTTCTAAATTCTAAAAAAAACTTGAGGGAAGTCAGGTGTGTTGTGCCAAAACAGACAGCTAGTTGGGCCTGAAAAAGAGAGAAATTAAAAAAAGAGGGAGTACTGGGAAGGGTCAGTGGGGTGCTCTGTGTTTCAGTGGTGCTGCATTGAGGACATAAGGTATAGCTAATTAACCCCTCTTCGGGGAGCTGTAGTGGTGATGGTGCTTGGGAGTAATCATTTTAATGAGATAAAAAAAGTCTACAACCTAATTAATTCTAAATTAATCTCTACTGACTTTCAGTTGAATGACACAAGGCGGCTGGATTCCTTTGATGCGTTGCATCTGAAATAAGTTTGCAGCATTACTTGTGTTCAGAAGGCAGGATGTTGTTGGTGATGACTTTCAGTAACCAAGAGGAACTAATCAGCCCACGTTTGTGTTGGTTTAGACTTTCTTTCTATTCCTGTTTTTGATATTGTGGAACTATTACATACCCACTGGCAGCAGATGATGAAAGAAACAATGAATTGCTTGGTTATCCAGCTGCTATACAGTTGTATTTTTTTTTTTTAACCGGGTTTACTGAAATATTTAGGTCTTGATATGGTTATTTTATTTTTGCTTAAACTTGATCTAATTTTACCATTACTAACCAGTTTTATTTTGTTACATCCGCTGTGGTGGTCTTATATCACAGTGGGTTTAAGTAGCTTAGTTCTAGAAGCTTGCATGTTACTGGCCAGCATGTTTTTGTAAAGATGGGGAGAATGCTATAGTGAAACTGATACATAGGTTAAGCCAAGGTATATGTAACATTCTACTCTCCTTTAAAATCTGTTGCATTTGCATTAATTTTACTAGATTTGTTTTATTCAGTCAGGGGACATTATGCAGTCACCCTAGCTTCTTTTATCTCCTCTTTTGCAACCTAGTCACCTTAAAGTCAAAAATGTTGCATAATTTTCATAGCTGGTAAATGCCAAGTGGATAAAAGTTGTGACACAGCTCTGTAAGCTGAAAAAAGACTTCCGCTCAGCAAGTTCAGCCTTTCTTATGTCAGTTTTTATTGTTGATCCAAAAGAAGGCAAAAAACCCAGTTTGAATTGCTTTCCAATTTTGCAACAATCTTGAAACCAGAATGCCAGTCAAATCTATCCTTGGATCAAGAAGCAGTTACTTTATTAAAAATGATATCCTTGAATATTATGTTTTTGAAAGTATTCATCAAGTTGCTGTCTAAATATTTGTACAGACTCTGATATAGCCACCTCTTCAGGAAGAGAAATCCATATCCTTATTGTTATTACTGTAAAGCACCCTTTCCTTTGTCTTAGGCTAAATCTCCTTTCTTCCTGTCTAAACGGGTGACCTTGTGTCCTGTATATAGTCATAGAAGCATAGAAACATAGAATATGACGGCAGATAAGAACCATTCGGCCCATCTAATCTGCCCAATTTTCCAAATACTTTCATTAGTCCTTGGCCTTATCTTATAGTTAGGATAGCCTTATGCCTATCCCACGCATGCTTAAACTCCTTTACTGTGTTAACCTCTACCACTTCAGCTGGAAGGCTATTCCATGCATCCACTACCCTCTCAGTAAAGTAATACTTCCTGATATTATTTTTAAACCTTTGTCCTTCTAATTTAAGACTATGTCCTCTTGTTGTGGTAGTTTTTCTTCTTTTAAATGTAGTCTCCTCCTTTACTGTGTTGATTCCCTTTATGTATTTAAATGTTTCTATCATATCCCCCCTGTCTCGTGTTTCCTCCAAGCTATACATGTTAAGATCCTTTAACCTTTCCTGGTAAGTTTTATCCCGCAATCCATGAACCAGTTTAGTAGCCCTTCTCTGAACCCTCTCTAAGGTATCAATATCCTTCTGAAGATACGGTCTCCAGTACTGTGTACAATACTCCAAGTGAGGTCTCACCAGTGTTCTGTACAATGGCATGAGCACTTCCCTCTTTCTACTGCTAATACCTCTCCCTATACAACCAAGCATTCTGCTAGCATTTCCTGCTGCTCTATTACATTGTCTGCCTACCTTTAAGTCATCAGAAATAATCACCCCTAAATCCCTTTCCTCAGATGTTGAGGTTCGGACTCTATCAAATATTCTGTACTCTGCCCTTGGGTTTTTACGTCCAAGATGCATTATCTTGCACTTATCCACATTAATTGTCAGTCACCACAACTCTGACCATTTTTCTAGTTTACCTAAATCATTTGCCATTTGGCTTATCCCTCCTGGAACATCAACCCTGTTACATATCTTAGTATCATCAGCAAAAAGACATACCTTACCATCAATACCTTCTGCAATATCACTAATAAAAATCTGAAAGAGAATGGGTCCAAGTACAGATCCCTGAGGTACCCCACTGGTGACAAGCCCAAGCTTTGAATATACTCCATTGACTACAACCCTCTGTTGCCTGTCACTCTGCCACTGCCTTACCCATTCAACAATACTGCCACTGCCTTACCCATTCAACAATATTGGAATCCAAACTTAAAGATTGCAGTTTATTGATAAGCTTTCTATGTGCAACAGTGTCAAAAGCCTTACTGAAATCTAGGTAAGCAATGTCTACTGCACCACCCTGATCTATAATTTTAGTTACCCAATCAAAAAATCAATAAGATTAGTTTGGCATGATCTCCCTGAAGTAAACCCATGTTGTCTCTGATCTTGAAATCCATGTGTTTTTAGATGTTCAACAATCCTATCCTTTAACATGGTTTCCATCACTTTCCCCACTACTGAAGTAAGGCTTACTGGCCTATAGTTGCCCGACTCCTCCCTATTACCTTTCTTGTAAATGGGCACAACATTCGCTAACTTCCAATCTTCTGGGACTACTCCTGTTAACAATGATTAGTTAAATAAATCTGTTAATGGTTTTGCTAGTCCTGTTTGTGAATAGATTTCCAGACAATGGTTTGTATTGAGGCGCGTAAACTAAACAGATTTAAAATTGTTAACCATTCTTCATAACTTTAATATGTAATTATTATTGCTGTTAAAGCAGACTGATTTTTAATAGTATGTTTACTTATCCTTATATTTAACAAATATGTATATGTTTTGTGTGGGGAAAAAAATTAAATGTAAAAAGTACATATTACTTTATGCTGCAACTGGGTGCCTCCATCTACTCCCTGTCAATCACTGTTATGATCTTTTTTCAATGTTTTCACTGGCTTTGCCTTGTCTGAACTGAGATTGTGGTGTCAATTGCTACATTTTTATTATAAATTTAAAAGAAAATGGAGCATCTCATGAAGACAGTTTAACACAAGTTATAAGTGGTTTTCAATGTTTTAATCAATGTCGTAAAATGCAGAGAATTGACAGAGTCCCTTTAAGCGGTTTATTGTTTATTTCTTGCAGACAGGCCAGATAACTTGTAAAAAAGCTTGTAAGACAAGCGCAGTGTCTGCCACATGTGGCTTGTGCAAAGGTTTGGTCAATTCTTTCATAGAAACAACTTATGAAGCTAGAAATACAACAAAGTATTTGATTTTCCCTGAGAGATTTATATTCTTATTAGTTTCCAAAATGGTTGTACTGTTTTGGATTAAGTTGTTTGGGATTTGGGGAATTGACCACTGAACGATTCCAGACTCAAATAGTTTTGTTATAAAAAGTATAGTACTGTAGACTCAGTGGACAGGATAAAGAGATAATTGAAAACTAAGCAAATATTCAGGACAGAAAAAGAAATAACCTTTCTGTGTTATGGCTGGCTGTTATATATAAATATCTCATCCAAAGGGTGTATATGTGTGTGTTCGCCTGTTCGTCTGTATGTATCTCTCTAGATCTCAAATGGCCTTATAGGTACACTTTCATTTTAGAGAGGTTGGCCAGGCAGGGGCTGCAAAAGTGCCTTTGCCTTTTGGGGAACCTAGGAACCTAGGATATTTCGCAAAAACCCACAAAGGTGACCTGTCTGCTTGATGTGAGTAAGCTGGGGAGAGTACCTGAAATCAGATGCACTACCCTGAAACACTTCCTCACAGGCTCCAAAATCTTTTCACCCACGAGGAGCTCACATCTATGTTGCACACACATGCATCCCGCAAGACCATGGAACTTGTTTTGCGATGTACGAGAAGTATCCAAAGCTATCGTTAACACTGGCAAAACTTGATGGCAGAACTCTAAATATTATCAGCCTCTAGTTTACTTCATAAGACAAATTAGTCTTGAATGAATGAAATATTAAAAAAGAATTAGAAAAAATCCTGCATATTTTTCTTAGTTTTACATTAAGTAATGTATACACAACAAGTGCAACTAAAGAAAACTAACTCAAAACTAACTCAAAATAGATTTTCTAATTAGCCCAATATGTCAATTCATTTTTAGATGTATTGCAAGAAGTGAATTACAGTTTGAAAGCTAAAAACTTGCAAAGTTTAGCATATGGGGATTACAACTTTTATAGTAGTCACAGAAACCGAAACTGCTACACAAAGTATTTTTTTGTAGTAAATACATCCCCCAGGTATTTAAATGAAAGCATTTTAATACTTTTCATTTAAGAATTCTGTCACAAACCTCTGCGAAATCTGCTCGTTATCGCTTAAATTTTTTTGTGTTTTTCACATGTGTTTTATTTTGGGGAAATTCACAGAACACGTGTTTAGACCCACTACTGTAAAGACCCCAAATATACCATATTTTTCTGTGTATAAGATGCCCCCATGTATAAGACAACCCTTATTTTTTGAGCCCAAAATTTAGAAATAAATATTTTTTGTCAATCTCTTTTTTATTGAAACATTTATGAAATGGGGTACAAAATGAGGAAAAGGGAGTGTACGTTTTCCAACATATTTGGGGTCTCATATTACAGTTTAGCTTTTTCGACATGGTACATCCTCAGCTTATGGTAGATGCGCCTATCGCTACAACACAAGCCTTGTTTCAAGCAATGGTATAAGAGTTAGTCCGTGTTTGCACCAACTTTAGTTTACATGCATACAGTATAACTGAGTAGGTATGCTATTAAAAAACAATGCAGGTATGGTAATAATATATCTAGACATTGCATGTTAATCTCACCACATTACAGGTTTGGTGAACGTGAGGTTGCGATAGGGTAACAGCTGTCCGACTAACGTGTACATGCTAAGCTTGGCTGTCGAATTTTGCTGTTAGAAAGTAGTCTGTCTACGCGTGTCTGAGGTCTCATATAATGGGTTGCAAGTGTGGTGCTTGGTAGTCGGACTCGTTGTGAACTCACTGACGCGGTTAAGCAGCGTATTAAGCATCGTCATGTCCTGTTATGTGCTTATCGAATAATCATATGGGGTCTTGGTTGGTTTAACTCTGGGGGGATTGGGAGGTGCTGCTCTAGGAGTAGATCTCAACTGTCGGTGCTATCAGTAGGCCTTATTA